ACGACCTCCTGCACTAGTATATAAATTAACATCTCCCCAACGCAAAAAATACATCTTGAAAACAATCATTCAATTTTGTTCGGTTTTCTAAAGTTGAATTAGATTGTGGTTGGATTTTAGGGTGAACCTTTTTGAGTTTAAAAAGGATAGATTGATTGGTTTGGTTTTGTTTGGTTTGGTTGCATGAGTTCGGAATGAGTGGAGATGGATTCAAGGTATGTAATATGAACATGGATAAAATCTGGTATATTTTGATTGGCTTCGGTACATGTAGCTTGACTAGTTTCCAACGCTTGGTTGATTTGGGTTAGCCTTCATTTTAGGTTGGTTGAGCTTGGTTGATTTGGGTTGGGTTTGATGGGGTTGGGTTGAGTGGGATGTGGTTAGATGGAGTTTTATTGTGTTGGAGGATTAAGCTGGGCTTTGTTGATTTCGGTTAGGTTCAATTAGTCTGGTTGGGGTGGGTCTGGTGATTGGGTCTCGCTGGTTGGGTTCAACCTGCGAGCAAAGTCATGGAACTTCATAAGAAGTGGCATTCAACACAACAGCTTTTTCCACTTAATTCCTAATAGTCCCTGAATTTGCCAAGATCCCAACCTACCACTCCTGCGAGGTGAACCAGCGAATCTACTTCTGGCACCACGCCGAAGGCAAGGAGCCAGACTGGGAAGTTCCAGCCATTGAAGGTATTGATGATGGAACACTCCAGTACATTGGATTCACAGTTTGTGAACTTGACAGCCACAACGAGGTAAGGCCATTGTCCGAATGACCTGTTGGTGGCTTGGAGTTATGCACAGCTCTACGGGGTTGTGGCCACAGCCACTTCCTGTAGAGATGTGCGGAATTTCAAACCAAAGCCAAGTCATTTGAACACGACCCAAAGTGTAATCCTAACTCTGAGCCTTCACTGACCCCCAAAATATTTGAAGACATTTGATCCTACATGCCAGAGACCGATGACTGAGATAATGCTTTTCGTTGGGCGTTTTTCCCCAAATATATTGACTGACGTTAAATGGAAAACAAATTGCCACCCTGCATGAAGACACTCAATGTTTAACTGAAATGCGAATCGTAAGGTCGCATTGGTGCCAACAGACATCGCCATGCAGTTTATGATGCTTGTTATAAACCCTGTGAAAATTTAATTAACCAGAGTTGCCCAAGGATAAATGGATGCAGGTGGCCAAATGGTTAAGGTTTATGACTCATGGCCATCAGGGGACTCGAATCGAGCTGCTGGCCGTAAGTTGTGGCCTCGGGCAAGCCACTTTTCCCTGCTTGCCTCTCTCAAGCCAGTATAAATGGGTACCAACATTAGCTGGGGAACAACTTGCGATGGACTGGCATCCCATTAAGAAGGATATAAATTCAGTCATTTCTTGCAAAGGAAATTGGAGATGAACACTGGCCTGAATAGCCAATTGGCTCGGAGCAGATTGGCTTGCGCCATCAACGTGTTGTTAACCTGTTGTCTGTGTTGGACAGTGTTCTATCCTGAAAACATGGAACAGCTGATGATTTTATAGCCTTTTTTTTTTCTTTGCATTATTTTTCTCCCTCAACTTTCCCAACAGGACACGCCCGAAAATGGCGCCGATGTTGCCCATCTAGACTACCTCCATGGCCCGTAAGTTCTGAAACTAAAAAGGGCATTGGGATATGCCCTGCCAAAACTTGTGCAAGTCATGATACAATAAACTTGCAAATTCTCAGAGAAGAAACAACATTTTTGCAAAATCTTTCCACGCCCCAATTCGCATGCACCAGTCCCACAATAGTTAGACATTCCATCGCATTCCGTCGCATTCGATCATTATTTGTTGTGAATATATTCAACAAAACATCACCTTAGTTCTTTGAAAAAGATTTCAATATTCATGCAACCTGAGAGACTCGGAACTGTGTCATGTCTTTCAAGTTTTGTTCACTCCCTCTTCCTCTCTCTTCCTTATTACCAACGATAGGAGATCCTTCACCGGTCATGTAAGCTTTTCAGATGTCAGCTGGGAGCCGCACCCTACCGAAAAGCATGTGGCCGTACTTCGCATGACCAGCAACCCGTCGAAACTGCTTGGAATAATCACCGTTCCCCGTGAAACCTTTCAAATCGATCAGGTGAGCTGGGTTTTGTCGACGTAACGATGGAGAGTTTTTGGAACACAGGGCCCCGAGCGGTACCAAAAGAGGGGGCAATTTTCCTACCTATATGGAGGTTCCTTCAGTGGGGAGTCATTATGCATTCCCCTCCGACATGCCCCTTTTCAACCGATGAGGACGGTGCTTCTGCCTTTTTCCAGCATCCAACCTTTTTTAGTCCAGCTTTATCTAGGGCTCTAGAATTATTCTCAAATTGGCTGAAGAAAACAGTGAGGTGGCCGGTGCTCTCATCTTAACATGGAGCTGAATGCCAGTAACTGAAATCCAAAGCTGAAGTGAGCACGGCAGCCAAGATTTAGGGTACTGAAGAAATCTGGACTGAAATCTCTCTGCACAAAGGAAACATTCCATAACAGCATCCTATATTCTCAATCATGATTTTATGAACGCTGCCAGATGATGAGTTTACCTCATATACGGAGGGCTTTTACTGGTTTCATCATTTCATTTTTAAAGCGTAAACGTCATTCCAAATCATTCCGGTAAACGGTTTAACTATATCAAATTCCTTACATTCCAAATCTTCACTAGTTTATTTTCAAAATGTATCGTTTACTTTTTGGGATGTGCCAAGATGTAGCATATCCATTTCATTAGAGGCTTTGCATGGTAGCCATCTTGCAGGGCAGTTGCTTTGCCTGTAGGATGGCAGCCATGCAAACCCTCAATAATAGGCGTCCCAAGTGCATGGCAGCAGTGAAGAAGTTGACTCGCTTCTCTCCCATTTCCCTCCCAACAGGTCGGGCCCTGCTTCGCTCATTTCAATGCGAACAGTCCCTTGTTGGGGAAGCTTGTGTTGATCATAGCCGTCACACCCGTCGGGCCGATGAGACAGCGGATCGTCACTACCGGTTTCACCCAGAAAGGGCTGTTGTCCTTCTATATCGGCAAGAGGGCCTTGGCTGAGCAATACTACCAGGTGTGCATAACCTGTTCTGCTTAATCTCTCTTCTCTCTGTGATGTTCATGCTGCCGCTCTCCTACCATGACAACACTGTGCCCTTGCCTCATACCACTCACTACGCTAGCTGTCTTACTATCACTGTCCTGTCCAGCCTGTTACTATTATAACCCTAACCCCCTAGGGTGTATGTAAAATCGTATCGAAATCGGAGGATTGGGGACCATTAGGGATAACCTGCCAAGTCCATTTCAATCCTGTACTCCCTCACTGAGTGCTTGTCTTAGACCTGGACTGACACGTACCTCCCTAGGACTGGGTTAAGTGGTCCACAATCCCAGTGGCGTATCCAGCAGGACAACAGAGAGGCAGCTCCCCCCCACACACACACACCAATTTGTTTGTTTTTTGCTTTCTTTAAAAATGATACTTCATTGGTGAGTAGGAAAGAAAGTAATAAGTAAGTTTATTTATCAAATATGGCACCAAAGCCCTAAGAAAACAGCACCAGGAAATAAAAGCAAGGATGTCTGGACCGTAAGGCTTTTGATTTTTTTTCTCCCCCTACATCATGTTGAATGAGCCTGAAGCCGCATTTGCTTTTGAATCCCCTCCCCCCTCCGACACCAAAAGCTGGCCACTGCATAATCCCTAGCTGCCAGTGTTCTGTGGCCCTGGGCGTAGGCCTAAGTGTTTTGTAAGCCCATGCCCTATGTGCCCCAGTTTCAATTTACAAGCCGTAACTAGCTTGTTTGAAGCTTTTCTTGGCACTTAAGGCCTGAGGGCCCCGAACTGGACCAAGAGAGGGCGCCATTTTCCTAGCAACGGGGACTCCTTTGGTGGGAAGTCACTTTGCTGGTGCATAGAAGGCTTTGAAATGAGCGCATGATTGCCTTCGCAATATGGCTCTTTTCAACCGATGAGGGGGTGCTTCTGCTGAAGACCGATATGGATCCACGGAACACTTCATCCAGCCCTGCTTACTTGATCCACATTGCCCTCTTGCAAATGTCTCACCCCTGTCTGCCATCCATTTCTTCTCGCCCATGCGTCCTCGCCCAACACTGCTAGATTTTCCATCAACTTCTTTTTCTTCCACTAGATTGAGGGTGATCTCCCCGTGTGGGCCAACAAGAAGTACCTCCGTAACGCCATGTTGGTGAAGGAGGATCACCTGATCGCGAAGCACCGTCGCTTCTTCACCCAGTTCTACTCCGAGAACAGCCCCAAGTACGACCCATACAAAGAATCGACTGAGTGGTGAATGCAAGAGACTTGAAAGGAGATGTGATGGAAACGTATGAGTTAACTGTTTTCTAACACCAGTTCTGTTTTTTTGTTTGTTTGGGTTTATTTGGGTTTTTATATTTATGTAGGTTGCCTCTGGCTGTTGAACCATAAGCACTGGTTACAAAATACCAGTTTGATTCTGCTTGAAAACATTGATTCGTCATGATTTACGTATGCACTTATTAATGTGGGGGCTAAGTGGTAAAGTTTTATTCTAATTTAACACTTTTTCTCAATTTTAATAATTTTCAGTTGTGCATAATTATTACAACTACCTGCTTGTCTCTCTTCGTTTCTGTTTTCAAGAAGACAAGACGACAGAAATCTTTCCTTGCTTACAAAATTTGATATAAACGTGAATATTGGCATATACAATTTCACCAATTACATTGCTTCCTTGAATAAATTTTCTTTCTTCCACCTTTTGATAAAATTCTCACTTTGTTCGGTAATGATTTATTTTTGAGGGCGACTGAACAACAACAACATTTTACATATCCCTAATTTTGAAAATCTATACACTTTCCAGATTTTATTTCAGGATGTCTCTTTAATAAATATCAAACTATTGTGACTAATACTATACAGGTTAGGACCTATGTTGTTTGTTTCATTTGAAGAAGGAAATAATTATGCTTTGAAACATAGGCCTATGTTTTATTAAGTCATCACCACAATGCAAACAGTGGAAATTAGTGGGTTCATCAGCAGCTATAGGCCCCTTATCAGGGGGCAGCCATTCAAAGCAATGTAACCAAACTGATCGGGAAGGAAAAAGAGGCTGTTCCCTTTTATCAATATGTTAAGTTCTATTGCTATTGTGTATTGGTCTACAGAGAAGAAAACAGGATCATGATAAAGGTCTAAGCTGCAAAAGAACTCACCCATAGAAAAGTAGATTGTGTGGAATGAAACTATTGAAATTATTTTCTGCTTTGTTGATAACGTTTATTTCAGTAAATGTTTATGAATATTGTTTCAGGCTTCCTAACTTGTGGCGCTTGCTCAGCATCAACGTTACTGGGAGAATTTCTGCTTTCGTATAATAATAATGACTAGCTCATAATGCCAAATAATAGATATAATATATCTTCCATAGGTTAATAACAATTGCCATTCTCTGTAAATTTATGTTAAATGATGAGCGAAAATAAAGCATCTGAATTCCGATATGATGTATTAGCCAGCGCGCCTAACAATTGTAAGTGATTTTTGGTTGATTACATGGAAAAGGGAGTGGTACGTAACCCCAGATCTGTCCACGGACATTTTAACAAAGTTCAAACATAATTTACAAGACGCAACTTCCAAACTTTTTCGACTATATTACAACCTTCAAGCCGTGTTTGCTTAACAGGAAATATTTTTCAGTTCAATCACCATTCCTCATTTCCTTCAGAACATTGAAGTTCCTATTTTGTTGATATTTTTTTACACGGTTATTTTTTTACTTCAGCTCAAATTCACTATTTCTCAGTTTTAACTTCACTGATTCTACCTTTAGTACTCTTGTTCGTTTACACATGATAATTCCAACTTCACTGAGTTTTCTTTAGGAATTTTGTCAGTTTGTACATCAGGTCATAGAAAAATGACTTTCTAGAAAAACCGTGTTGTAACCATGACTGTTTTGCCACACGATGCCAACAAGCTAGCGGTATGCTGTGCTTCCACCGAAACCGCTCTCCAGTAGTCTTCTCTCAAGTTGGTATTCGGATAAACAAACCAACCCGTACGATAAAGGCCATTTAAATTAAACACAGAATTCAAAATTGTTTTGAGGTTTTTCATTATCAATGGCTTTTCCAAAACATGCTCTGCACTCCTTACATAATCTTAATAATCGAAAGATCACAATAACTTAAACCATACTTGAACCATAAGCACGGCTGCCGGCCATGAGCAGTGCGGTTTACGGTTGGCACGGGAGGAAAAGGTGGAGCGTACCGTATTTGATTCTGGTATTTATTTGTATGAGAAAGTGTATTGATATGATGAACATTCATTGAATGCAAATTTTCGATTTGTGCAGGCCTACCTCCCGGCCCCTCTGTACGCCGGTGTACATCACCCCCCCCTTCCCCCTCTTCATGCGTACATAATTGGACGGCCCCTTATGAGGTTCTGCTCTTTTCATAAAGTGACGACCTGAGACCAAAACTTTGGGGAAACTCCTCTTTAGTTGACCAACATTTAATTATTACAGTCAACAGAAGTAATTTCTAGAATTGTTCGTTGCGAAACTCAGTGTTGTTTATTTTCTTACATGTCCGTCCCTTGACACCGTACCTAACTATTCAATGAGTCACCGGCGCACAATGCAAAACAAAAAAAGCTAAGCCCAGCCACAACCGGACCACCAACCTCGTGTCCCATAGTAACTCTATTTCTACATTAGGCACCACCGGTCACCCTGGACTAAGAAGAGAGCCATAGTGAACTGCTCGACTACATGGGGGGAGGTTGAGTTTCTACTCGGACCGTGTCACATGTCCGAAACGGGCTTCCAGAGCTACGGCTACGTCTAATGTACTATGCTAATTGTTGGGCATTGTGCAAAAACGCCGCTGGGCGGCGCTGCGCTATACTAGTAATCTTTGAGTACCATACCGTTAAAACGAAGGGGAATTCCCAGCCTAGCGTGTGTGTTTCGCAATCTGGAAAATCCGCCTTTTTTCGGAATAAAAAGATGAAATATGACTCGCCGAGTCATCAGATTAACGTCAGATAAAATAGAGTAGAAGTACAGGCTGTGTGTGACTTTGCCACGGAGTGTCTTTGTCGTGACTGTAAATTTGGGAAGCCTTATCGTCAATCAGGCAAGTAACGTGACGTGAAGAGCGTAGGCCTAGGCCTAATCTAATGAATGGTGAACGCTACTAAGTACTATAGTATACTAGTAGGCCTATTACTATGTAAGCCTAGTAATTATTGTTCTGTAGCCCCTACCAAAGATCGTATAGCACAGTGTAGGAGCCCAAAATGGTGGAGAACTTTACCGTGAATCTGTAAATATGCGTGTTTATGGCCTATGAATGATTATGTTAACATCAACACTGGCATAACTGACAGTGACTGGGGCCGTAACAGGTACGCACATGTACACCTGAAATCAGGTAATATTATAATGCCTGCGCCTATGCGTTAATGTTCACACTCAAATGGTGCCCATGGTATTGAATAACACCTTTTTGGCATGTTTTGCCAAGTTCTCCATCTTGCACCGCATGGCGACTCTATACGACTTTGGTGGTACTGTTACACCCCAACTATAGTATACTGTATAGCATAAGTCCCAACATGTCAGCCATACTCACACTGAATTCCGACTACTTCCAACACTTCCATAATCATGTACATGTACCGGTAGCTACATGTTTGTACAAACTCACCACGAGAGCAAAGTTTCAGCACTTTTCATTATAAATGCCAACTTACTCTGCCATCACTTATGAGGTGCCTCAATGCTATTGGGAACTCAAGCAGATTCTTAAACAAACTCACCACGAGAGCAAAGTTTCAGCACTTTTCATTATAAATGCCAACTTATTCTGCCATCACAAATATTTGTGCAACAAAATTTCATACAGTTTCCTTTAGTGTGAGTACATGTACAGTATGTACTGGTAAGATGTCTGCCGGGTAGGTTTAATCACCTTTATCTCATTAGCTAAAATGGTGAAATCAGGAGCATTGTGCCCATCCACGCCATGGAAAATTTGGCAACAAATGCATGTATACATGTACATGTATACAGTGTCATTGGCGTGACAGCTTGGCCAAGAGCAACAGGGCTCCTATCTTTTCCTTGTTGTTTTTCTGTCGTGTATTTAAAAAAAAATACACGTGGGCAGGGCAAAAAACTCTGAAATTAAATCCAGGTTTGTTAACACAAGTGCTCAGCTTAAACTCTGTTTTCTTTTCTTGTCTTATGCTCTTTTCCTTTTGCTTGCAGGAGACTTGTAATTTTAAGGACTGAGTATATACATGTGTGCATCATAAGATGGGCTGCCACACTGAGATGTCCTCAGAAGCAGAGCAAAGTCTTCATTGCTGAGTATGCAGCATTTATTTAGTTTAACTTGGTACAATCAACTACAGCTAAGAACTAAACGGTTAAGAATTTGGACAGAGCTTATGAGGTGCCTCAATGTTACTGGGAACTCAAGCAGATTCTTAAAGGTGACAAAGATTTCCAGCTTTTGTAATGGCGCACTTAGTCAGTCAAAGTACTACCCAGCTACAGTTGAATCCTCAAGAACTAGCCCTCTTTATTGCTCAACAAGCAAATACCCAAGCCGCTTTAGACAGGAGGAACGAGGCTTTCAAGAAGCTGGTGGTCGAGGTGCAAACGAGCAAGGAGGATGCAGAACGTTACCGTCAAAAGGCCAGATACCTAGAGTTGGACGTGGCTCGGACTGATGCCCACCTGGCTAAGATGCAGCAGTCATTTGCGCAGGAGCAGCAAAAGAATGCAAAACTTACTGCCAGATTGGACGAAGTGCAAAGAGGAGAGAAGATTTTTGATAGATGCCGCACAGAGGAAGAAGAGGAGGAGGGCAGGATGGATAAGATCTACCCCCATGGGGAGATCCACAAGCCTCATCAAAGGACCAACAAGGATCAACACAAGGTTTGTACTTCTCTGAAGAAAAATCTTTTTCAAGAAACACAGTACAGATTTGATATTTTCCCAATTGAAAGCTCATTTTCTTTCTTTAAACAAGCTAATTAAAGCCAATGAAACTTCAACTAGAGATTTGATTCTTAATTGTTTTTTTGGTAGAAATGTTCAAGAATGTTGCTGATCGATTTCAGGAAAGGGAGATTTTATGGCTCTGAAATGTTTGGAGGTTACAAGGCAAGGATTTCATCAGTTTATGTGAAATTGCGCACTCCTGTTTTGTCCCTGACAAATGTGAAAGAAGACAGTGTGAGAAATGTGGGCTGCATTTCTTCCAAGAATACACTGTTAGTCTGTAAATGTCTTGGACATGAGATCAGATTTCCTGTCACCATGTACTTTGAAGGCTTTGGGTTAATTAACATGTTCCTGTGGGCGTATACAGCTGATGGCACGTTGGCTGACGTTATCGATAAACTTGCTATTTCTGGGTAAGGGGAAGCCCCTGTGTGTCGCAACTCGCAAGTTGAAATCAGTAAAGCTATAAAGAGTTGCATGACTTAAAATTTGGGCAATGTGCCTGTTGATAACATTTTGCTAAGCTTGAGGTTAACAGAAAAGTAAGTTTTCCATCTTGCATAAAGTAAGTACACGTATTTCTGCCATCTTGTGTGTTTTTGCCATCTTGCATATTTCCGCATACACCTTGGCAAGTGATGAAAATTTTCAGTTTCTGCATGCAGAAGGTAGAGATGATTTGTCAACGGCTGGTCTGTACATGTACATTCACGAGCAGTTTACTTAGATCATTCCAGTTAGAATCTTGTCACTAAGTCCACCCCAGTCCTTCAAAAATATCTCATGGGAGACCTGGGAGAAGCAGGCTCTCCACTCGATGTGAACCAAAACGTATTTAAAGGGAATTTGAGTGGAGACGTTAAATTTTATTCCTAAAAGAGGAACATTTTTGCCTTTTCAAAGCTGCAGTGGATTGCATTGAAACTTGGTCTGAACGTAGACACACCCCTGCTTTGGACATCTAAGTTTGAGCAAAGTTGGACAAAATGCATTAATTAACATTTATTCACAATATTGTCTGTGAATCAGCATAATTCCAATACATTTATGTGATCAAGGCCAAATGTTTACCTCCTCATCCGTGGGTATCACAGGGGGGCAGGGAGATGCTTGCCCCTCTCCCCTGAAAAAACATTGAACATGTTAATGACTACTCAGTCCCCCTCCCCCCGAAGTGCCTCCTACCCCCTCCCCCCGGAAAAAATCCTTTCAACACCCATGATCCCTTTTCCTTCTTGGTTAACAGTAACTAAAGTATGTTCTGCAAATATACATGTACGTCCCTTGGCATTTTCCAAAGAATCTTTTAAAGAGCTACATGTATATGTATGTACATTTTACTAAAATCCAGCACTCAGTACAAGACCCGATTGGATCATTCTGCTGGCCTATGCAACATTGTGGCAGGTGAAACAGTTGTGATCAGAAGACAAAAAAGGTTGGATTTTACTGGATTCAAGGCAGTGACCGGTACAGCTGTCACAATCACTTAAATTTTCCCCTCTGCATTCTGCAGGGCTATCGCGGCCAGCGTGGTGATGAGCAAACAAATCGTGCTGCCCCTTTCCAGGCCCTGCACGGTGTGTCCTACGAGCACCATGAGCTCCTGCTGCAGCAGATGGTGAGGATGAAGCAGGAACTGACCCGACTGGCAGAGAAGAACGGCCAAGACGTGGACAAAATCCTGGTAAGACCCGGACCCATTCTTGTTGCCCATGAAAACAAGGATTTCTCAGTTTGAATGACAAAATGATTTGGAAAGCCTGTAAAACAGCTACAATGTAAATGTACTAATACACTCTTTCAGCTAAACGTTGTTTTTCACAGACAGGAGAGATGTTGTGGCTACATGTATGTGTTTGTGAACATGTACATGGATTCACTATTCCTGCATGCACATGTTGTGCTTACTGTTTCTGATTGGCAATTTCCATCACCAACCTCACATACCTTATCAAGGGCATGCTGGGGGGGAGTTAAAGATAATTGGTATGTAAATTTTAAAGGTCAAATTTGAAGAGGGGGATCTTAAAATTATACTAGCGTCATGGATTGCGCAATACACTGTACATGTCGCAATGGGAATTTCCCTACATTTGGCAATTACAAATGCTTGTTTTTTCCTGTTATAAACTCATGAATTGAAACTGTGACCCCCTCACAATGCCTGCTGGCTCATGACTTTTATGGACAGCTCAGCTGTTGTTTGTTGAACAATCCGTTTGGTTTTGATTGTAGTGAGATCGTCTTTCAAGTTCCTTCTTGCTCAATCCTGAGCTATTCAGGGATCCCCAAACCACATGATACATGCAGATATTTCCAAATCAGATGAGCTCAATCAAAAAATACAACCTGCTGTACCATAGTTTCATCCCCAAATCTTTAGGAAGCATCCCATCTTCTGCCAAGTCACTCGCTATTGAAATGAACTGCAACAAAAGCATTCTTTAGATTTCTTTTGTCATTGTTCGCCCTTGATATTAATGGCTGGTCATGGTGACATCACCTCTGAAAGGACCTATGAATACCAGTAGCTCAGGCATGACACTGCGATAAAAAGCAGAATTTAAAGGTGTACAAGTATTCCTAAATGTACTCAGGGACCCTTTTCTCATTTTCAGGTGGTGAAACTTTCGAAGAACCCTCAAATAGTCCCAGGACTTACTGTGCCCATACTGAGTGTGATGTTACTTTCTTGTTTGTTACATGTACATGTACCTTTTTTATGGAATTGATGTTGGTGACCATGGCAGGATGAAGTGTTCCATAGGCCCTGGCCACCAGTGTAGCGTGTGCCCTAGCCACCAGTGTTTTGTAAATTTGTAGTGTAGTATTCCGTAGGCCTACATGTATAGTGCAGGCAACAGTGTCCTGCAGGCCCTAGGCACCATTGTTCTATAGGCCCTAGGCACCAGTGTCCTGTAGGTCTTAGGCAGCAGGGTCCAATAGGCCCTACTCAGTCATAAATGTACTGTACATGTACCGGTACCTTGGGTTCTTGCAATACATACATGTACATGTATAGCCATGTGGAGTACCAACAGACTAACTACGGTACATGTACAGTATGTACATGTACGTATAGTTTGAAGCTCCAAAATAAAAAATTCAATACGCAGCCCACTGTGGCATGTGTAGTAACTTTTGTACATGTGGGTCCCCAAATTGTTTGTTACCGCAGGGCCCGTTGCTTGCTGTGCCCATTGAATAAGCCAGCCCTGGTTGGTGGCATTGGAACATACAGTAATAAAATTGCCAGGGATTGAAGTGGCGCTTATCAGCGTGCAATCTCTGAATTATAACAGTCTGCTCCACATCATTGTGCGTAACTTGACCTTAAAGTAAAAATGTCCCTGAAGCCATGTACATGTACACATAATGGTATTCCTTGATCAACAAAAACTGCATTCATTCTGACTGATAGCCTTGAACGTGGGAAGTCGTGGGTGCCAGATAACAATACATGTAGGTCCATCCGAAGTGCAGGAAATGAACCAGGAATCAGACTGCATTTGAATTTCATGTACCGGTATAGTGTCAACTCTAAATCACAAATACATGTACACTGACCCATGCTAATGGTAGACTTTCGTGGTAACCTTTGATCTAAAAAACCAGTTTTGAAACAGCCCCACATTTTTTCTTTCGGACAGACCTTTGATGGGCCATGCAAATGTCATGAAAATGCCATAGCTCCAGAGGTTGACTTGAAATTTATCCACCAAAAAGCAAACACACCCAAAGGGTCGGGAGAAAAATTGGATAAGAGAAACAGATTTTTAAGAGTGAAGATTACATGTAACCTAAGCCATTCAGTGTTGGCCACCTAGAGCTCCAAGTTGAGTAGTTAAGAGGGTTACCTCTAAGTACCAAGTACATCTTCTCCCTGCGTTTAGGAAGCAGCACGATACAAGGAGATTATCGAGAAGCTGCAGGAAGACATTCAGGAGAAGGCGAACGAGAACGAGCAACTTTTGGAGAAGATTCAACAACTGTGCACCGAGGATGAGGGGCCCATGAGTGAAATAGTCAAGCTGCAATTCATGGTGCGTCAGCTTCCCAACGTGATGCTCTGCGTCTACTTAACAATGCCAATTTGCAAAATACACATGTGAAGGGTTTCGTTCGTGCTCAGGGGACTACAGCCTGTATCTTTGTTACCCCTGCTCAGCAAGCCAACAAAAAATTTTGAAAAGATTTTGAACCGCTTTGACAGCGTTCAAGATAATGTCTTTTCTCTTTACAAATTAACTCAGTCTAGGGCAAAGCATCTTGTTAAAAAGAACTTGAAACCTTTAGTTTGGAAAGGTGCCCACTTTCTTGAAATTGCGTCTCCAAAAGTTCTTAAATACATGGAGCAAAGTGACCCCCCCTTACAACAGTACAAAAAGCCTAAATTGGTTGGGTTGCTCCTAATAGTTTCTCTTTCAGTGCTTTTTTCAGAGAAAAACAGTGGCCTTTTAATATAGAAGTGTAACAGATCAAGAAATGTGTCCCAGAAATAGAGCCTGACTTTTGAGACATTTGGTTTGGACTCACTCCAATCTTGCAGAACGAGAAACTCCAAAAGAAATTGAACCTGAGCCAAGTCATGATTGACACCCTATCCAAACGCTGCGAGGAGCTGAAGGAGGAGCACAAGAAGGCTGCCCCACCTAACCAGAAGGAAGACGGCCACGCCCCTGACGATTCCAAAGTCTTTGTGCCCATCCACAAGGAGGAAAAGACCGAGAGTGCCACCGAGGGGCAGGATATGGTAATGCCACACCTTCAGTTGTAAAAACCCAATTGGATCATCGTTCATCCAGAAAATCTTCAGTACACATATTACCACCAGTCTCACCTGAGGATAAAATTTAATGATGTGGTGTCTGGGAGAGCTTTTACGAAAACTGTTAGAGCTTGGAATGATGTGGTCGATATCCTGCAGAACCATACACAAAGCTACTCTTGCAGATTGCCCAAAGCTACTCTTTCATGCTGCGTTCCAGGAAACTGAAAAAAGCACAAGCTATTTGGAAGCATTCTGTTGAAAACAGAAGTACTGTAAATAACCACCAACTGATCCATAAAAAGTTGTGCTTCTGTATTAGAAAAGTTTGTTTGGAAATGTTAAAGAAAGGCTCAGGTCATAATTATGTACAAAAAAGTTGAATTGGATAACCTTTTTGGTCTATTGAACAGAAAGAAGTTTAGCTTCTCTGACGTAAATAGTTGCCTTCAAGAGATAGCCTTTTACCTTTTTTCAGGTTGATGGGGGCGTGTCTGTGAAACAGCTTGAGCAACAGAATAAGCGACTCAATGATGAGATGGGACTCCTGGACACCCAGCTGAAGCAGGTGACCGCGGACAACAAGCTGCTGGTCAAAGAGCGCCAAGATGCCGAAAAGCAAAGAGAGGTCGGTGGCCCCATCCATCCCCCCCCCCCGTCATTTACTGCCTTCCACTTCAGACAAACCTTAAGGGACGGCGACCATTTAGACCCGGTTTGAAAAGGGCCCCCCGGTAGCCCACCCGTTATAATGCCTGCCTGGTATTCAGCCTACTCCAGGCCGGTACAAGGCCTGTCTGCACATTGGCATTTCAAAGTCCCTAATGAAAGGCTTCCCCCAACACGCTTGCACAGATGAATAGGGGTCTAAGCGGATTAGTGTAAACATTGTATAGAGCTGAAGGATTAAAAACCACAAGCACGTTCCTTCTGGGATAGATTGCATGTACCAGTACTTGCAAATAATAGACCCCAGGATGAAGAAGTTCGAGATCAACAACCAGTCCAGCTTCCCAGGCCGGTAGCCAGGCCGGTATGAAAGGGGTTTTTGCAACCGGACGAGCTTACCGGGGGGCCCTTTTCAAACCGGGTCTAAATGGTCGCCGGCCCTAAGAGAACTATACATGATTTGAAATCTTGGCCTTTGAAATGTCTGCTACCCTGAGACTTTTGTTCCCCTTGCTTAAGTGTCGTGTCTGTAAATCATAATTTCAGACGAATTATGTACTACCGGCCGTCAGTACTACAATGGTCTTGTGCGTTTGAGCCATTCAAGCCACATTGTGTAGTGTGTTGGTGTTGAGAATCTCTGTAGCTCTGACTGCCAGGTTTGGATAAGGCTATGCTCAGAAACAGCTTGCTCTAATCATGAGATGATCTAATGAGAGTCTTTGGCTGGGAAATTTAAAACTTTAAATGTTAAGCAAAGGCCATGTTTGAGTTGTGTATCTTGTGGCTGTGACTTCAGTGTTTGCCAATACCACACGGCGGATGAAAGCCAAAGCCGGAATCCATCAGTGTTTGTTTCACACAGCCATACAAAGGATGGCCAGTGGCAGACTGGCAGGTGCAGTCGACTGTTAGCTAACACTGTTAGGGTTGTTCCCGTTGGGTAGATTTTCGAGCAGCGCTACAACGAACTGATGCAGACACTGCAAGACATCCAGCAGAAGCAGCGGCAGTGCTCCAAGTGTCGCAGCCTGGAGCTGGAGATCACCAAACTCCGACGAGAGATGACCGACCTCAAGGATATCAACGAGCTAGTGCAAGCCCAGGTATGCCGAGCACGGTCTTTGCAAACCAATGCAGGACTGAATCGATAGACTAGCGACGACCTTCAGATGTTATATGTAAATTAAGAAGTCTATTGAAAATATGTTATAGACTGTTGACATGTGTAAACTGTATATGATGTTACCGTGGTTACTGTGTTATGCTTCCAGAGGAATATTGGGAAACTTAGTACAAGCACACAATGGTTTCTCTGTGGGATTCACATTGAGTTTGTAGTAACTATAGTTAATGCAGTTCCAGTCACTGCTTCGTGAATAGAGTAACGTACTGAACTGTCGAGGGCAAATCTAGAACCAAATTATTGCGGGATCAAATTTAGTTTGGGGGGTCAAGTATTTTAGAATTTTTTCCAGTAACCTCTTCTGGCCTTTTTTTGGGGGTGAGGCTACATTTGGAGACTTTTTACTTGTTTTTGGAAGGAAGAGACAATGAAGTACATTTTTAAAAATGGCTGATTTCTACCGGTACATGTATCTAAAGGGGCCAGCAAATGCCGTCATCAATGCCAACAGCAGGCATGAACGTGTTTAATACCATTATCCTTTGTGGCTTCCTGCTACCCACAGTTCTTCTGTTCTTCTTTGCAGATGAAGCTGTACGAAGAAGACCTCCGACAAGAACAGATGGAGGCAGCCAGCCAAAAGCAGAAGAACAACTTCCACATCGAGCAGTGGAAGAAGAATTGCCAGCGGATGGGTCAACAGGTAAATGACCAAAAAAAAATTCACCCAAAAGACGCTTTGTAAATGACAAAAAAGAAAATGCCTAAAAGACGCTTTATGAATCTCTCATGACCATTTGAACCAATTCTTTGTTAACTGGTTTAATTTTTACGTCTGATCTGTCTTTTTTAACTCCAGGTAGATCTCCTGACTGCTGATCTCCGCAAAGAACGGGAGGAGATCCGGAAGCTGAAGTATCAACTGAGCGTGCTCAAATCGCAAGGGGGCCGGCCTGCCATGTCCCTGGCAGCGAACTTCGCCAACTCCCGCTGTGCCCCGCTGGGCCCCAAGAGTTCCCCTTGGCAGGAGGGATTCCATGACATCGAGATCGATGGGCCGGGAGTTGATGTCCCAGACGTGGGGCAGGACATGTCTGATTCCATGGGGGAGTTTCTCTCAGCCAGCTCACACGACCTAGGCTCCGATAGCAGCAGATACCGGTCGGTGCCCACGGGCTCCTTTCTCCTCTCGAACAAGCCGCTGGAGTGCCCGCGGTGCAAGCGGGAGTACCCAGCTGACCGGCTGGAGGAGTTCCAGCGCCACGTCAACAAGTGCATTGATAGCTCCTGAGAGTCTTTGGTGGTTTTTTCCCTGTCCGCTAGAATGCTGGAGGAGAGCTCATGGAATGGAATCGCAAGGAAGAAATTGGTGCAGGGCCTTGGTGAAGGAATTAGGTAAGATGGAAGGGTCATATTTAGCAACAGGTCCTTAGTGAAGAAGGTTAATCACAACATTATCCGTTTAATCTGAAGTGTAACCATTTAACGTCAGTAAATTAGCACCTATGACTGTTATCCGAGACTTCACCTTTTTAATTAAAGCTATGACGTTAACCTCATAAGAATTAACACAGAGTTCTTTACAGAATAAAGTGACAGTTTGTAACGTCTACACGTGACGTAATCAGTTTCTCCCCCCCCAAAAAAAAGAATTAAATCTCAGTAATAACCCTGAGAAATAATTTAAGTTGCCAGAAATCCTCCCATTTTTTTAATTACTGTTGTTACTTTTATCATCATTATTGAGCATTTCTGGTAATGAAACCCAAGATTCCTCCTAAGGGCTGAAGGCACTGTAGCTTGTAAGCCTGAAGAAACTTGTAGGGAGGAGATGAAGAGAAGCAGGCACACTTTTAGAGGTGGGAGGAAAACCCCAGAGGAATATTCTGGGTAAAACCCACGGAATCAGGTTGGGACTGAAAACCCAATCCACATGTGGACCAGACTGAGAGTCAAACCCGGAGTACAGAGGCGAGAGGCTAAGAAAGAACAACTATACACGTACAGTATGTACATCTACATCAACCTGAAATATATTCCATTCAGTCCAGAGCATGTGCAGCCAAGTTCTTTTTTTAGTCCCCAGAGTCACTGATTGAACACGGGCCTTTGAATGTTTACCTTCAGCAGGGCTTGCCCTTTATTTTTTCTGACAGTAGCCCGCAGGGCTAGTAAATTGTGATTTTTACTAGCCTGCAAAGATTTTTACTAGCCCATGAAATGTGTGAAAAAAATAACAATTAAAGCAGGTTTTTGACTTAAGAAGGCTGGTCCACCAAGACGTTTCTATCAACCGCTATCACGTGGGGTGATAGCGGTGTGTGGGTAGACTGGTTCCCGTTCTCTACTCACTCACCCGGCATGATTGTCCAATGAGGGGCTTGCGATCAGTGGTACAGCGAAGTCACTTACGAACCGGATTGCACCAGTTTATGGATGCAGTATCAGTTTAGGGTATCTGGTTCCCAGTACGAATTGTATGTTAATTATATTGATCATGTAGAGAGGTAACTGACTACTGGAGATCATTGATGCGTTGATGAAAGGGAACTAGGTACAATGTACACGCAGTCCCAGCAAACAATATGGGATTCCAGGTGCAAGTCAGAAGTGATGTTGGGGTTTATTTAATTCCAATTAAATAAAATTACATTCATGACACACAAAAGGTAAAGCTTTTAAATCTAGACTTTGTTTTATTTTCTGTAATCACATTAGAAAAACAAGGAACGTGTTCATATTTTAACTTGCCCGCCAGACGACTGAGGGAAGTGTTTTGACTCGCCCGTGACGATTTTCGCTCGCATTTGGCTAGCAGGCGACTGCTAAGGGGAAACCCTGCCTTCAGCAGTTTGATGAAATCATAAATGTGTCCTTTCGGGCACCCCGTTTGTGAGGAAAGCATTGCAGTTGATGTATAGCGGTTGCTTAGTGCCTATCACAAAACACCCTACCATGAGGCAATTACACAGAGCCGCAGTTTGTGTCTAAATCAGGCTTGGCTGAGGCTCCGGCCCTCTAAGCCTTCTCAGGCTGGCCCCAGTTCGCCATCTTCTGCCTACGGCTTGAGTTTGGGGCACTGACATGTTACAGTGGAGGTCCATAGCCGGACACTGAAATGTCAGTAATGGACACAGTCCAAGACTAAAAATCCAGTAAAACACCTGGTCACCAACTTCCTGGCTTTTTTTTATTCTGAAGCTACAGAATCTGAGAGAAGATAAAACAGGAATTATGGAAATATCGGTCAGGCTTTCTGATGAAAAGAAGACTGATGAATAGCAAGCAATACTGTCTGGTCAAGCTGAAAAACGAAACATTAAACATTGCTGGGCATAAAACGTTTATATACCAGCTAAGGATGCATTCAGTGAATGTTTCATGTAACTGGTTTCCTGCTGGGTTTGGTCAACACAAAGTTGAACAACCTGTCAGGATTTTAGAGCTGTGCTAAATATCTGAATATTCGATTGATTATCGAATATTTGAATACTTTTTGCAAATTTGAATATTCAAGTACAACATTCACGAAAAGGAAAAATTATTTGTTGTTTTAAATGAGAAAAATTGCACTATGGAGGCTTGTTTCAAGCAGAGTCAACAGTGACAAATCTTACAATGATTCAACAAATAAATTGATCATTAAAAACTTTAAAAGGAATAGAAATGAGACAAGCAGGACAAGAGGTACTGCTCATCTCTTAAATCATTCTAAATTGTGTCTGGAGATACTCCTAGACATGAGAAGCCATTAAAGTGATTATAATGCACAATTCTGTGCGTTATTGCATCTGATTTTGTATAAATGGTTTTGTTTATCAACAATGTGCCCGTCAGAATTACTAAATATTCGATCATATTGAACGTTGAATATTCGAATCGCAAACTATTCAGATTGACTCAGCACTCAGGATATTGTTTTTAAGTAGAAGAGGATGTCAGTGTGCACGTATGTGTAGTATGGACCTGTATACATGTACAGTACATGAAGACTCATTCATGTAATGTGTACGTGCATGCACTCATGTACACATGGCTTGTTTACATTGCAGGAAATGACCAGAAATTTCCATGAACATTGCAGTCAAAGGAGTTGAAGGAGGCTAACTTTTCTATGTGTAGATTTAGTCACAGGAATTACTGCAAGAAGTTATTGTGACATTGGATGCAGGTACATATATTTGTCATCGTTTGTGAAAAGCCCCCTTCTTCCTTGTTAAGTTGTAAGTCTTTTTGCTGCAGTTTCCTTTCATTTGTACATATACAGGTGCAGGTATTGGAGATTGTGTAGTTGCTGAAAGTTTTGTTTAATTTTTTTTTTTTTTTTTTCGGTTTCCGTTTGACAAATGACTCATTTTGCAGGGGAAAGGTACTTGGAAATCCCTTGTTGAATTAGGTAATTCTCATTTAAACTTCCTGAAAACTTCTCAGCACATAATATACTGTATATTAGTGAAACTTCCTGATAAGTTGTGTTTCATGTACAAATTCAAAGGAAACATTTTATAATTTTACAAGCTGTTGATGTCATTGTTTTTGTCATTTTATTCCTGGAAAATTGCAGGAGTTTTCTTGCACCTCTGTATCTTCATATTGGATTTTAAAAAAACGTTACGACTGATTTGTTAAGCATTTACGGGATAAGATACAAGTTTTTCATTTCATGTTTCACTTGGACAATAAATGAAAGAGGCCTCTATAGTACAGTGTGCCGATATATGCCAAAGTTTAACAAACCTCAAATGGCATTTTATTAATGATTTAAAATAGACTAATGTAGTTTTCTAAAAGTATACTTATTTCAAAAACAGTGCTTGAATAATTTCTAAACTTTTGTCATAAGCGGGAATTCTGCATTTAAGTTGAAACTTATTCAGTGTTTCAATTAAAAGTTCAAGTTACATGTATAATGTATTTCTTATAAAGGTTTTTGAAAACTTTTCAATTTTCATAGGTTTTCATTTTCATCTCAGCATGTAGTCAGCATATGCTTTTTCCATAGGAGTATTTACAAGTTTTTTTCTACAATTGAGGAACATTTATTTCTTTGATAAATAAAACAAGAAACATGACAATTGTCATGAAGATGAAAGCATGATTTGAACGGCCAACAAGAAGCATGACAAGGTATTGTTTTCTGAAAATGAAAGCATGATTTAAAAAGCTAATTCTGTAAGAAAGGAGTATACCTTACATATAGATGTTCACTTTCCCATCCGTTGTTTAAGTTCTTAGTTCTGTTTCTCAGTTTCCTTATTTACTTACCTTTCTTTGTATTGAGATTTAGAAGGTTTTCTTTAACTTTTCAGAAGGCTGGTTTCTTACGATCCGTGAACATGCCTACTGTCTACAATGTACACCAAATTTCCTGTCAGTCAGATCCATCTTCTGTTACCTTGCATTCAGCCCAAAAGATTTTGGAAGGATTCAGTTTTTCTAAAGTTTAAAATTTCTTTCGTAATGTTGATATACACGTAGTTCGCATGTTTACATGTGCATTGAATGCGGTGGGATTTGTTTATTCTGCCGGAATAAAGTTACTTTATTTGGCCTAGGTACTTATACTTTGAAATGTCTCAGGAATTTACCAGTCCGTAACTCAACTAACTGGTGAAATACGTATGGTTGAATAGTGCGCATTTACAGTAAGTCACTTTTGCATAAATGACAGAGCGATCAGCTACTCGGGCGTTTTGAAATTTTCTATGTACATGTAGTTTAGCGATTGTAGTTTTAGTGCGTTGTTCAATATGGAATAAAGATTTTGGTCTTTGCTGTAAACAAAGCTCCGTAAAATTTGTGTTAAAGTAGCTTTTTAAGAAAATTACTAGACATATTTTGTTGCAACAGTATCGTCTTCAAGCCTCTGCAGTTTCCTGTATAATAGCAACAGAAATAAACACAGTTGAACAAATGACTTTTTTGCACTGGTTTATTCTAAATTTGTCTTTGCCATGATTATAGATTTTAAAGAGAGAATAAAACTGTATTTAGAAAAATAGGGTTTATCTTGCCACATCAGCATTTTGAGAGCTATTCATTATGTTATTCACAAATGACTGAAATTGTTCTAACTTGTGTAAAACAGCTGGCTAACCATTCATTTAAATTATTAATTGATGATAAAATAATGGAAGCAAAAGCTTAGACGTAAACATAACCAGCATGAGAGCGAAAGTCGCGGACATTCACGTGACTTGAGCAGGTTGGGGAAATCCCTTTCTCTTGAAAAATGAACTGAAACTTTGGAAATTTGCACATTTTCGGTCTCCACACTCTTCCGCAGCCCCGCTGTCAAAGATTCCAAACAGAAACCTACAAAACCGATAATGCAGGGAGCATCGAAACAATGCCAGACTGAGAACTAAATGTGATGAAACACGCTTCACTACCTGTGGTTGAAAATCTCAACATGTCACTAAATAACAATTATGGACAAATGACCTGGAACAGTACCTGTGCTGAAATATCAACCTAATGTAAAATGAACACAATTGCACATACAGACAACCAGAACTCCTAGCAAAATGCCAACCCATTTCCACCCACCACTGGTTTTGTATAAACACTGCACAGGCCTACAACTTGCAACAGTTCATGACAAAATTGACAAATGTTTAAACTGGGCCTGGTTTTTAAGTTACAAATGTCTTTTGTAATGATTGCATTACAAGAGTTCCATTTTGATAATGATGGCAGTGGTACAGAATATGGAGGGCCCTGTGTGTCAAATACGCCTTTCCTTTTTTACCCTCCATTTTCAGGCAATAACCTGAAACAGCCTTGTTCGCAGATGTCACATTAACTGGCAATCTGTTTTTTTCTCACCCCCATGTAGTATTGGTGCAAGACACCACTATTTGTATAACTGAAGTCAAACAGAAGAGTCTTGCAGCAAGGCTAGCCACCCTACGAAAATACGCCAGATAAAAACGGACATCCAACATTCACATTCTTCGTCTTTTCTACTGTGTAAGACACTAGCACAGCTGTTACTGCAGTCACAAATGTGGCAGTCAATGGAAAAAAATCTAACATTAAAAAGGAACCGATAAAAACTACACACCACAAAATTTCACATTAAGTTCATGTTTAAAAAACTTTCACTTTCTTGACCTGAATGCAATGAACTCATGAAATTAGCCATTCAATCGGTAGCCTCTATTGAATCAACTTATGACACACAACAGGGAGAGAGAGGGATTTACAATGCCATTTCAGCCAGTTGCAAATAAATCAATAATTTTTTTTTTCTTTTTGCAAGTGAGGTACATTTAAACCATGCGATCACCTTGACTTTTGCATCCAGCATTACCATCTTTGGTGCACTGATCACTGCTGAAGCCCCCCAAATGTTCAAAACCAAATAGAAATACTCCAAACCATGGCTTCACATTTGAGAATGGGATATTCCTGAAAAGCAGAGAATGACGGGGCTATGAGCGCAATCACCTGAAGCCAAAGACAAATCCGAGGTTTGACAAAGTGTATGGGTTTTTGAAACACTGGCTTCAGATGTGGCCTCACTTTCTCTGGCAACACCATGAACGTAGCCACCATTTCAAAATGCATTTTGAAGCCATATGCCCCCCCCCAAAAAAAAATTATCGCATAGCACTCCAATTGGTCAAATCAATACACTTGGAACAGCAGGTTTCTATCCTCTGTTTTGGAATGATAAAAGTATGACAAAATGGTGAATACAGCGGTTACAACCGAATTTGGGTCCTTACATTTCGAAGTCGGCAAAGTCCATCGTATGCATGACTTGACTGATCTCAACCCTGAATGGGGAAGTAGAGGAATTTATGATACACAATTCATCGGTCTTGATACTGCATCCAAAATGACTGTTATAATTTGGCTTCATGGACGTCGTTCATCTGGTATCAAAAAAAAATTTGAGGAAGACCCATGCGGAGACTGGTACACACTCTGAAACAACTAACCAAAGATTACTCACGAAATCGTCACGTCAGCCTGTCATACTGCAGCATTTTGTTCGGAATATCTTTTGTGCTTGTAATAAGGTATTTTACGTGTACATGTTTAAAACCCTGTACTTGACCTACATTGTACATCACTTTAAACATGTCATCGAGCAAATATGGAGATACAGTGAGATAGATAGTTAGAAATTTCTTCTGTTCATGGTAAAGCCGCTGGTCCGAAACAAATGCCATCCCTTCTGAAAAAGTTTGCCAGTCCGAAAAGCAGTTTTGGGAATTCAAGCCCAATGGCAAATTTGTCAGGAGTCCTTGTCAATGAACCTGTCTCGACAGTGATATTTGAGACAGCACTTTATTTGTGATCAAGCTGGCCAAGAAAATAGGCAGCCTTGAACCTTCCTGAAAGTTTTGAGATCCACAGAAAAACACATATCGCCGAACATAAACTTCAGCATGACTGGGTTCAAGCACTGGACAATGATCGAAGTTTCGGCTCAAAAACTGCTTTTGCCAAGCAAATTGTTTCCCACGCTATAAATTCCTGGACAGGGTCCCTTTAATGAGATCAGCTCCGAGTCACTCTTTAAGATAAAAGGTAAAACCAAAGAAACACAAAGTTAAAAGATTAAATCTAGTGGGGAAGAAGGTAAGAGATAATCGTTCCGGCAGTGAAGATGAAATAATTCAATTTAGCCTCAAAAAGAGACTGTGAACACATGTACAAGCTGGAACCAAAACCTGTTAAAAGTGGAGTTTACGCTGAAAGGGAGTAACGAATTGAAAGGACAGAATGTGGGTGGCTGAAATGAAAAGTTGGAAGACTTCCAACATAAATACAGGGTACCTGTATGGTTAAAAACAGAGTAATTTCGGAGTAATTAAAAAAAAGAAATACAAACAGTAAATAAAAAAGGGTAAAAATAACTGGGGAATGAAAAAACAATCACCTTTAGGTGAATATGGAATACAGATCCACGGATGCTGCCTGACAATTTTTGATATTCCAATTATGGCTCTGACTGGAATCACGCCCTCTCATAAACCCAATCCCAATAAATGCAATGTGCGAACTTGGTTTACGTTTATATACTCCAATCCACTGCTTCTTAAGAAATCATAGCCTTTAAAACAAGACAATCAGGGGGAGGTTCATTTTTCATTAAACTGGTCATGCCGAATTTGCTGCCTGGCTGTGGGCCCCCGTAAGGTCACCTCTTGAGGGCGCTGTTGACGCTGCCCACAAAGGTCACCCCGACGAGGGTGCGCTCCGGCATTACTTCTGCTGCAGGGATTGGTAGTACTCTGACAGCACGGTCCAGGCCAGCGGCGCCATGAACCCATCCGGCGGGTTCTCCCCTGAGCGCGCCAGCTTGCGCATGCGGGTCCCAGAGATGAAGTCGAAATCTTCCTTCCTCTCCGGATCAAAGAAGTCCATGGCCCGCTTCTTGGTGTTGTAGGCAGCGACACGGAATGGGATGATCTCCAACTGGGTCAAGCCCGGGGCCATGGTCAACACCTTTGCAGATCAAACAGCGTGAAAAAGAATGCAGTGTGTCGCTTGCTAACGGAACACTTTTTTTTTCAATAAAGATTTTCATTTTTAGTTCCACAATATAAGACCGAATAATGAAGGGAGACACACACATAACAATGAGGCTTGTCGGGAAAATCAAAGGGAAGGCCTGAGACGAAATTACTCATGTCAGAGCCCTTGTGGGCTTGTACAAGAATGCACAAAAGGGCAAATTCCCTGACTTCTTAGAAGTCAGGGAATTTGAAAAGCTGAGGACTACAGGATGTTAGAGTCTGGGACATGAATTGAAACTCTGCATGGCTGCCATCTTGCAGGTTGGTGCTTTTGTTTCACAGGGTATGCACAAAGGGGGTTTCCCTGTGGAACAAAAGAACTGCCCTGCAAGATGGCTATCATGCAAAGCCTCTATACCACTGCAAAACTGCCTGGAATTATAAGGTGGTCCTATGCATGAGCATATCAACCTAGAAACGCCATATTTGAGGAACATTTTGTAACTTCAAAAGGTTTTGAGATGATTCCAACCAGTACAATTTACACCGCTTACCTTTCTGCCGTGGGAATGGTCGTAGAGGTCTCGAGTACCGTCCGGGTGTGGCATACCAGCCGGGTCACGACCCACGATGTAGAAATTGGCACCTGTGGCCATGCGAGCTTTGGCATGCCACTGGACCTACATCATAACCAAAAATGTCCTGTAAATCTCAACAGGTCCAAGAATTTAGGCAGTTTACTTTTAAAATTCTTCAAAGTAGGCCTTTACGCTCATTTGGGTTGATAAATTTTTATGCTCTGAAGGTCAACGACTTGTCATCAGTGATGGGTTTAAATGATAGCTTTTATCTTAAGTTTATTTCTGAAAACAGCCATACAGATACAAGCGTGGCTAAAGATGAAAGACAAAAGCTGCATACCAAAATTCTTGATTGGAATGTAAGGTAAAGCAAGCCCTTTGCATCTTGGGCTGAAAGTGAGGCTGAACTGGCATATCCTGGCGAATGGATTTTTCAGTACCAGCCAAGCAAACTTCACAGTACTGGTACACAGAGGGTATTTCTTGCAAGTGCAGCCTCATTTTCATTTCACATCCATTTCCATGCCGGGACTCGAAAACAAAAACCAAAGGTACAGTAACACCCAAGGGTCACGACCCCTCACCTCTGTGGGACCAGCATACATCATGGGAGAGGGGAAGATCGCTAATACAGTGCTCTCTGGATCCAGCACACCCTCCTTCAATATGGCGTGGTGCTGCTTCATACGAACTGGAAGGGGAACGTCATCTTCTTTGGTCCAACCACCTGGAAGGAAGTGACCAGGTTAGATTTTACTGACTTACCCGGGCGAAAAATTGGGTAGAGAGGGGATTCCTGAAGAATTGTCAATAAGGTCAAGTGGGAAACGATGGGCTCATGCCAGAAACACTGTACAGCATACAGCAGAGTATACAGTGTGTGTACACATGCACAGAACAGAATACACGGTTAGTATTGCATAAGCATTTACATGACAAGAAAAGGAATTACTGCACCAATGTCTTGCTCATGGAATTGCAATGGAGCCTGAAAGTTGACCCCTGATGGCGCGCTTCCGGAACCCTCGGATAGGAAAAATAACGAGCAAAGATTTTAGAATTTGTAATGTTTTTTGTTCAGTTTCTTCTTAAAAAATCCAACTTGGAAAAAGGGCTTTGACAAATATTTGCTAAGTATATCAATTTATAGAAACTGAAAAATTACTTGATCTAAAAAAAGAAACGTTCTGACAAAAATTGACCCATCACTTCTGAAAATCTAAAATACATGAAGAACAGTGCAATACAGCAGTCTTGTACGCAGATGAATATTTACCGTTTGAAATTTTAAGGTAGTCTAAAAAAAAAAACAAAATAAAAACTGATCAAAATATTTTGCATGTTTTGATAATTTATAAGGCAATAAACATAAAGCAATATTCTACTTTTACGAAAGATTCTAATATTTTATCTAACTTTTGCTGACAACAACTGCATGATGTCAACTCAACGCAATCTGGAACCCATCGACTGCAGGTAGGTAAATCTTTGCAAGGTCGCACAATCTCGATTTCAAGAAAGCGCGGCGAGTGAAAACAAACTTGCAAGAACAAGGAAACCTAGGTACGCTATCGCCGGACATGAAAGGTCGTTAAAAAAATTGTTTTTTGCCCATCTCCAGGCGACTTTTCCAAAACATTACTTGAGGAAGGCAAAGGTAAAATTCCAACATGAATGTTTCATGGGGTGGTTTCAGTAAGGAATTATTTTTCAAAAAATTAGCGAATATGATAGGACGGCCCAATGTAAAATCCCCATAGGAGGACCGCGCAAGGGTTCCGGAAGCTCGCTGCATGACCTTTTACTTTCAGGCTCTATAGGAACAGGACCAAATGAGGTTACAGAAGTTCCGTGAATGCTCAAGTCTGGTTTCAACATGGTACATATTTCTGACTGTACATCCTCCATTTGGATTGGCATACCTGCCTCCAATGTGCTTTGGTGTAGAACAATTTTCCTAGTATCATTAGGCCACACTTTTTGTGATATCTTCACCAGTGCCAAGCGGTTTTGAGGGATGTTAAATGAGCACCATACCGAGAGGGTGAAGTAGCAGTGTGGGCTTCTTGTAGCCGCGGTCCTTTAAGCGACGCTTGGTGTCATTCATCAGGAGAGCGTGGCCATTGTGGACCGGGTTGCGCAGCTGGAAGGCAAAGATGGCGTCGGCACCCAGCTGGCGGAACTTGGCGCGAAGTTCGTTGGGGGTCAGGCGGTAATTGTCCAGCCCGTCGTTCCAGCATATACGATCAAGGACCTCCAGATCACCGCCCACCAGCCAGTCCCCACTTTCCATCACCATCTGCAGGGTAATTTCACAGTGCAATTCCATTCAACATAAGCACAAACTTTGTCGTAACCCTGAAAAGCCAGGTTTTTTTTTTTCTCTCTCTCTCTATAAAGACATCCCTAGTTAACTGTATAGTTCTTATTTTTTATTTTTACCTGAAGAGAGGGATGGTCGGAAGAAAAAATGGAGTAAAAAAACTTTGCCTCCCGTTCCCCGAATCATCTTTTTTTCCCTTGGAAGGAAATTCTAGACATGGTTGTATGTTTGCCAAACAGCAATATTTCAAATTTAAAAACTGCCAATTATAAATATTCAAATTGGCATCTCCCTGAGGCTAGAACTGCAGGACACTTGCAGGTCCTCACCTTGATGTAAGGATGGCCAGGATTGCTTGTCCCCCACTGACGACAGCAACGTTCCTCCTTGCGGTGTTCGTAGAACTCCGGCGAACGCAGGATGGCGACACGACGTCCCTCATACGAGAGGGCAAAAGCCTCTTTACTGGACAGTCTCTCCTTATCCTCCGTGGTAACAGCCAGGACAATAGGCACTGATTGGTTGATAGCTCCACCTGCGTTTTGCAGAGGTATATATGAAGGCAATTATTCAGACATGACACTTGACGACAGAACAAATCAAAAGTCACCAACTTCTGTTTGTCCATCCCCCACCGAATCCAAGAGGTTTTTCCAGGACTGTCTAGATTTCAATGGGCAGTCTTCCGAATACAAAAATAATACGGCAAATTGCGTTTCCCAATGCCTCAAGCATGTGACATCTTGTCCTACATTTAAGGGAGCACCTCAAAAATTCAGAACTATTAAAACATTCCGACAAGAATATGCAGGCCCATACACTATCGTAGAACAACGGATGCTCCCAAATGCTAACAGCAGTCTGTGTGCTTGTGCTACCTCAGGAAAGGCAGACACCTAACCTAATGACACTACGGAGTGTTCCAGTGGAAATGGCAAAGTTCTGACATTTTGAGGTGTTCCTGGACACTGGACCACCACCCTGTCTTTACCGTCCAGCATGCAGTTGAAATGTTGACACTGTAGGAATTCTCGCTCTCTCATGAACCCCGTCATGGGGGATGCCCAGCCCTCCGCCAGGACCTGAACCCACTGCATGTCCACCTGAGGAAGTAACAAAATGCACAGAAAAACATGGAGAGAATCAAGGGTAGTGCACTGGCACTCTTCACATCCAACTTCAGCATTTGCATTTGAAAGCATTTGAAAGCCAAGCCTCTGCAAGGACCTGAACCCACCGAACTGAAGAGGGGAATAAAATACCATGAAACAACCAAGAGAATAAAGGCTGGATAACTGGAAGTGCAATCTTACGGTCCCCCATTTGCATCCAACTTCAATCCATCACATTCATCTTGAAGCCCAACCCTCAACAAGGGCCCAAGCCCACTGCACGTCCAGCTCAGAAGGCCAAAATATGAAGATAAAGAGGGAATCGAGCATGGAACACAGGAAATGCAAACAGATGGTCCCCTGATCACATCCAATTTCAACCAACCAATACGCACCTCAGAGACCTATCCTATGCAAAGGCCCGGAACCCCCTCCACGTGCACCCAAGGAGATGGATTGGGCCCAGGTTGTATAGAGTGGCTAATTTCTACCTTTCTCAATCCTCCAAAATCTTCCAAAACCTAAAGATGGATTTTAATTGGATCTGGTAAGAAAAATGCAAGAGCTCATCCAGGACACTGAACTTTTTAATGGGACACAACTCCTACTTTAGATCCAACACGGCAGATCCATATTCACACAAAAGATGAGTGCATGACTTTGTGCTGCACAAACACATGTTTACTGAGAATTTGCTCTGTATATTTCAGGTCATGGCGCTGACCCATGACCTTTCTGTGTGAATTGTCACTGACCCCAACAACTGTCACTGAATAGCCATCCAGAATCCTCGGCATGTCTCCGATGAACGGGAAACCAATGGCACATTCTTTGTACTTCACGCCTAAAGGCCGTTATACCCCTTGAAAAGTAGCCATGGTTAGGCTGAGCCTGAACAAGTGTGGCAAAGTTCTCTTTAAAAATAACCTGATGTAGTGGCTTAGGATGGGCATGTCAGGGTCAAGGTTAATATTAAACTTTTCCATTCTATCTAAAGCAAACTCTGTTGAGTGCACTGTGGACCTTACTTGGCCAGAAAGGTACACCTGAATCGAACAGCAAATACAATACTGACCTCCCTGTAACAATGTGAAAACCATTTTGCAACGGGCATGACGAAGCAGGAAAAAAGGGCCATTGTACGTAGGCAGAGATAACCAAAGTCAACAGCAAAGAGCATGACACATGAAGTGGAGGCTAAAACAAATGTGGACTAAATGTCAACCCAGGACCTCTCGAAGAAGGTCGGCTGACACTGACGGCAACTCAATACGGGACCCTGATTCAATCTCTCCAGGTGGCACAATCACAGCTTGAGTGACAGACTCGTGAGACCAGGTTGGCACCCTTATATCTAATCGAGATCTCTCTGAATGATGCATTCAGGTGCCTAAAATGTGAGGTAATAACCTCTGATCTGCTTTGGCATCTGGGGATGGTACAGACAAAACCTGAAAGCAAAAACTGCATCCGTCCTACATCCAGGTTCTCCTGAATGTGAAATGTCAATCCATTCCGGCATTGTGAAATTCATCTTTAGAGAAACACGGCTTCAAAGAAAACAATCTTCCACTCTTCGTGAAAGAGTCAACTAAAAATCCCAACCCAGAGCTGACTGCTAGCAAGGTTGGAGGGTGAATTGCAGTCCAACTCAAATAACATACATAGTCTCGTTTCCATTACTGATAATACAAAGCACCAATTAGAAGAAGGTAATTTCAAATGTCTGCAGGACTTCGCTATTAAGGAAAGGCTTGGCTGTACAAATTCCCTGGGGCGGCCTCCATTGTTATTTCTCACCTTGTTGATTTCAACGTATTCCAGCGTGCTCGCCTCGTTAGTAGCAGCCTCCCGGGCCGACTCCGGCACAAAGAGCTCCTTGACGCTGTCCACGGCAGACTCTGGGATGATACCCTGAAAATGAGAGTAGGACAAGTTATCCTGACCTCAGACCCGGTCTGGGTAAAATCTGGTTACAAATGCACCATCTGGGCCATTCCAATTCCCCGCGTCATATTATAGGAGTAGAAATACAATATTTGATGTTTGGTGACTTCTCTCACCAATTTTACTTTTTTTTTCAGCAGATAGATGTGTTAGTTACCAGTACCAGGAATGAAAGTTTGGGGATTTGCAGTGTCCGTGCTGACAATGGTCTCATTTTTCCGAATAATGGCTTATTCCCTTAGCCTAGTTTTGGACAGGTGGGTGACATACCAGTGGATATATTCCAGTGAATATCAAATATAGGATTTTTGACAGACAGGGTCATGTAATCCGGCAGACGAAGCCAAACTCCTCTGAACAGACTACCTGGCAGTGGTAAAGTTCCCAGACTCACCTCTCCCCGTAGGAACTTGATCATCTTCTCCACGCACTGGTCCACGGTCAAGGAGCCAGCATCAAGGTTAAGGTCTGGATTCTCTGGGACTTCGTAGTCCTGGTCAATACCGGTGAATCCTGGGAGAAAAATTTGATTTTATGTAGTCATCACAGTATCTGTCCGTTGCTAAACCTTCACTTAAGATTAACAAGTACAGTATGACTGAACTCTTTCGATCATCTCTGACACTTGATGTCCCACCACGTCATCCTAAATCCATGCGTCCCTTTAAAAAGTTCATTTTCAAGGTCTCAGTCTTCAGCTCTAAATCAAAAACTGTCCAAACCAGAAGAAACTGCTGTTTATTATACAGAATTTGAAAAAACAAAGGAAACAACTCAAATCTCAAACAGTTTCCGGTGGAGTGCAAGGGATAGTAAACTGTCGGCGCAAACCTTTAATGATGCCAGCTCGTGCCTTCTTGTACAGCCCTTTGACATCACGCGATTCGCACACCTCTAGGGTAGTGCTGACGTACACCTCATAGAAGGGCAGGCCGATGGACTTGTGTAGGACCTTGGCTTCCTCACGGTCCTGAAGGAAATCGTCCAAAAAATGCTGATTGCAAACTAGGTCCCACACGTACATGTACTTACTTCGAACTTGTCTTTTATACGAGAGCACAGTGAGTGACTTCTAGATTCACTGGTGCAACGCAGATCTTTCTTCTTCATGAAGGTTGATAGATCTTCTTTTAAAACATGTAGCATTCGATAATACCTGTATTTGTTTTTAGAAAGGTCACTCATCATGCCCATGTATCAATTTCTTGAAACTTTAGGCTATATTGTGACATCGTGAGAAAAAAAACTGACACTGACAGTCACTGAGGAAATGTACATCTATTTTCTGGTTTTATTTTCGTTTCATCCAAAGGCAGCGGGGGGACTTACCTTGGCATTGGGGCTAATGAACGAATTCAGGCACACCACGCCGCCATCGGCAAACAGCTTGGCCACCTCCGAGACCCGGCGGATGTTCTCCACTCGGTCCTCGTGGGAGAAGCCCAGGTTCTTGTTCAGCCCCTTCCGCATGTTGTCGCCATCCAGCGAGTAGGCCGGAATGCCGTGATGACAGAGGTACTCCTCCAGAGCGAAGCTGATGGTGGTCTTTCCTGCCCCAGACAGACCTGGCGACAGAAAGAAAAAACTCAATAAGCCAACGAACAAACAAACAACCCAATAAAGACACCAACAAACATGTATGTTGAGGTGCAAGGAATTGCCAGGCAGACAGTTTCAAATGGGTCATTCTACAAATTTCAAATATAGGCTCTAATTTGTTTCTAATTAACAGCAAATTCATCACTGTTGTTTGCTTGTACGGTAATAAATGAAGTTCAAGTTTGTGCCTGACACTTTGCAAAAAAAAACCCTGTATACTATTACTTCTTTTGGAAGACTATTCTATTCATACTGTTTCCACTGGCAGCAAAGTTTGAATGCACATCATTTATCTCCTGACAAAAATAACGTCAGTAAGTGAGAGTACCATGGTAAGACAAAATGCAATCAAATTGAAATTCGAGCTGCGGAGGCCTCTTTCCCAGGGGCAACCTGGGAAAAAAATCTTTAGTCCCCCTCTGGACACAGGCAATCTAGGCTTCTCTATGTCAGGGCACCACTTTGGTGGGAACAAGGACGCAACTTAAGTACAGCTGCTACCCCTTGGGTAGAAACCATTGATCAATCTCCTTCCCAGGAATTTACGCACACACTCAGCAGGCAGTGCTCGGCAAAACTAATTCAGTACACAGGCATATTTCTCAACCCCCCCTTCAAAAAAGTAACAGGTTGAAGCATGAATTAGCACAAATTTATTCCCTCCTCCCTGATTTGCCTCCAATGTACCAGCAGCTTCAATTACCTTTGCTCTTTTAAAAGACTACAGGTAGACAGGGGTCGGCATTAAACTTTTTTGCCCAAAAGCTAAAAACAGCTCCTGGCCTTTTAAATTTCAGGGGTTTGGGGAGCTGTTTCCCTGAACCTGGGAACTATTTTAGTTGAGGTCATATTTGGCCAAAAAATGCTAGAGTGTAGTTCCGTTTTCGATTTATACCAGTGCATGCCTCTCAAAAATAGAAGGGTCAGTCGGTTGGAAAATTTGAGGGGTCAATTTTTCTGTGCTGATTGAATGGCATGAATGGGGACAAAATTTTTCAAAAAATGTCTCAAAATACATGTATGATAAAAATCCATCTTGATCCTTGTAAAAGTTCTACAGTAGACAATTCACAACAAGGATGGACAACTCACACAATGCCAGTCAGGAAATCAGAATGGCAAACTGACCAAGGATGTCTGTGTGTCACGTGGTAAGCATGTGTGATGCTCACATCCAAACTGGCAGGCGATAGACCTTATGCCACGGCAGGAAATTTTGTGGAAACATGCTCGCTTTAAGTACGAACAAAACCACCTCAAATTAAACACTTAAACACAGAGAATACATGTACATACTGTACATACATGCAGACAACAAACGAAGTTCCGTGAATTAATTTGCAGAAATCCTCTTACAACATTGATGTTTTTTGACCTGCAGCTGTAGAGTTGCGTATACGTACGGGGGTTGTACAGTAGCGTAATCGACCGAGATGTATAGACTGGTTGGCACATTTCCACCACCTGTTCTTTGGCATGGGTGCAGTGCGGTGGGAACCAGTACAGCTTTACTTTAATAGATTGAGTTTTGCGCACGTGTTCACCACTGCGACAGCAATGCAAAGGGAACTCGTGAAAATAAAAGAAGTTTCTTTTCAAAAATTGCAAATGCACCAATAAGTAGGAAAGCATTTTAAAACAGGCGTTTTATGTGAGAAAAGGGTTTTGAAAGGTGTTTTGTGAAGACAGAAAAGACATCAGGATTTTTTTTTTTTATTTTTTCATCTAACTTGCCGATAAAAAATTTTAGGGTCGCGATGAAAATTAAGGTCGGTCGGAAAAATGACACTGACTGTCACACCGGTCTTATGGTAATGTACCCCACCAAAGTAAATATTTTGATGATTTCTTTGGAAGAAAGTGTGTCATCACATTAAAGGGGATCAGTCGTCTTGCTTTATAATGGGTCACCAGGTGCTAATCATGGTTTGTCAGATGCAAAAGTGCCAGTTACATGTATGTCGGCACCTGGGTAGATAACGTTATCAGGGTGGTGCATTAGAACCCTGTACCAAAATACTCAACCAAGTTAACTACCACTACACAGGCTTGCAACAAGCTCTACAAAATTACCGACTAACTTTTCAGGCAAAGATATGGAAAGGTTTTGTAGATAAATCTACTTGTACGTGTGCGCTTGAAACTAGATTACATGGAACACTGATAGATTTAATGTTTTCATCAAACGGTATGTTTAAAGAGTGTCATGATAGGAAATTTGAATGCATTTTCTCACATGTTTTTTTTCTCTCGTTTCTTTGAATTTAATGCATACCCAGGCAGGCACCTGGGTTTTCTCTTCAATCAATAGGGTACTTGTTTGACCTATATGTACGGTAAAGCCCGTAAATGAACCACTTACATTAATGACCCTACATGTACATGTACGAGTCCATGTATATGATGTACATGTATGCACTGACACTATGTACCTTGGCAATACATGTACATACATCTAGACCTTATACGGAGAAGCCATTTTTGATCATGTTCCCCGAATCTATCACATTCACTGCAATCTAGTAAATAGGGTGGAGCCATACTATTTAGGCTTCCAAGCCAGACTTTCTTTCTTTTCTAAACGTGAATTTAAAAATTTAATATAATTCATAAACATAATATAATTCATCACCAATTTTCAGTTATTCAAGATGTACATGTAACCCTCCCATTAATTTGTGATTAATAAACTTCTATTTCTTTGCTGTTATTTTTGCTCTCAGGTTCTAAAAAGGAAACTTTCGCCTCACTTTCAAATCAAGATGGCCGACAATTGAATACAGTCTGTTCCATACTACCAGTACACATGTAAATCATTTAAATTCATAAAAAAGTCAGGGGACTAATCAATATTGGAATATGGCGAGAATAGTAATGCACTGCGCAATAACACTACTATGAATTCAGAGCTTGATTTCTGCAACTTGGGATGCCCTGTACATGTACATGTATGTTCCATACACATTCATGCAACTGTTCAGTGTACTGTACATACAGTACATGTATGAACATGATCAATTTCACCCATGAAGTACCCCATGCACTGCACAGCAAATAGAATATACACAGGTGTATCCAGCCTCTTGGCAGACTAGTAATACAACCCCAGGTGAGGTCATAGGCTAATCCTCTCCATGTACATACACATGATTTGCAACATTTGCACCAATAGTGTCTGGCACCCAGGCTCTGCATTAAAAGGGTAGCTGCACTCAATTTGATTTTACACAAACCTTCAAAAGGCACTTTTCTGCCCTAGTTTTGTAGACTTTGCTAGACAAAATTTTCTCTTCTTTGCTAACTCATTGTTTAGGTGCACAGCAATAAGTGTGTGCACCAAATCTTTTCTCAGAAATGTTTTCATTGAGTAAATTCAGGGTTCAAAATTTTAATAGCAAAACCTATGCGATGAACTCTGCCATCCCTGGATGACATCACAGCAACAGCGCCCTCAGTTGTCCAAGAGAGCACAGACAATTGTTAGTGTTTTTAAAAAAGTGCACTTTTCGGTGCACTCGACCAACTAAGAGTGTAAAAAAGCCTTCACACATTAAAGAGGAGTACAGAGTTGAAGAAAGATTGCGTCTGAGAAATTAAATTCACGGCAGCCACCCCCCACAGACCACATCCACAGTACGTTCATACCTGTGCATATTTAACGATGCAACTAGGACGTGTAAAAGGACTTTCCTGTTGAAATGAAAATTTTGAGATAGGGTGGGAGAGGAAACTTACCAGTGAACCAGACGGTGCAGCCGCGGAAGCCTCCACGGGTGCCCATGACCTGCCCACGCTTGTCACGGGAGACATGATGGACCTGCTCTGTCACGTTGGTGGCCACCTCCTTGTCGTGTTGCTGTGGAGATGGACAAGACGGCAAATCAAAACCTAAGCAACTGCCACACAAGGACGGCAAAGGATGGCTTTGCCAGAGGGGACCGAGGCACCGTGAAAATAATCCTGAAATACCCCGCCCATTCCAAGCACTTGAATCTTATACAAGCACTCTTACATGTACCGGTACATTGTGCATTGCACCAATTTCTTTAAGTTGTCCATGATTATCGGTACATGTACAGGGTACATTTGTAACATGCAGTAATTCAGCAATTGCACATCTGTTTTTTTCATGAGTGAGGTACATAGATGTACATGTAGCTAGGCCTTTTCAAGCAAGGCGATGTCACGATCAAACCACACTGGACATCTTTTATTAGCTAATGTACACATACCATACAAGTATTACCAGATAAGACTTTCGCCCTTGAATTCTGCTGGATTATAGTGGCTCATATGGTACTTGTTTGACGTTAGGTGGCAAAATGGTTAAGCTGGGGACAGTGATATGTGTTACATGTACATATATGTACTTTCCTCATCTTAAATCTTTCATTGGCCTTCAATCTTGTACATGTACATATAGCTTCGAATCCAACAAAGATCAGTAGACTGGTACATTTGGGAGTAAGACACATCCTCGCTCTCCGAGACCGGCTGGTGCAAGTTCAAATCCTGTCTGGGCGTAAGCAAGGGAAATTGGCCAACATGAGGAAAGGGGTACTTCCATCACCTTCCGCTTCTGGTTAACCCCGGTTCAAACCCCGCCAGGCTCACCAGGTGGACTGTTTTCATTTAGCCCTGTTTGAGTGTTCAGATTGCCCTCTTGCTGCCTCTTCTTAAGCCATCACCTCTGTTATTTCCCCTAATTCAAAACTCAGATCTATGATGCAAACACAAGTACATGTACTTGTACATGTGCAAAATGATCTACATGTACCTGCAACATACATGTACATGTACATGTGTACAGCCGTATAGGGTACAGATCTTGAAGTTTGTACATACTGTATACTCAACAAAGTGTTTTACATCTACCAGTACATACTGTGTTTATATGGTACAGACTTTGCACATCTTACATGAACATGTAGGTCAGTTGGCAACATGCATATTCATCAAGATAAATGTACATGTAGGTCAGTTGGCAACATGCATATTCATCAAGATAAATGTACATGTAGGTCAGTTTGTTACAATGTAATTGATAGGTGATCTTGGGTAACTAACACCGAAACAACAGCAGTTGGCTGCCGCAGCATAACCTAGGATATCTCTACATGTACACGCAAAGTGTATGACGGCCTTACGCAAGGGTTTTAAATACATTGTATAAATTTTTAAGAATAACATGTAGTGTTATTAGAACTTCCACAATTCCAAATGTGATCTGCTCACTTGTGCAGTTTAACAATAGTGATAATTTAGTGTTTTTTTAAGTGTTGCAATATAATGAATGGTGGGAATATTATTGAACAATATTTGACCACAGAGCATGTAGGACTGAGTCGATTCAAATACATGTAATTCACTATTCGAATATTCAACTTTCAATTTGATCGAACATCCAAATATTCGGTCGCACCAACCGGCAGATTGTTGATGAACAAACCACATACAAAATTAGTTGCAATAACATTCACAATTAAACATTATGTTCAATATAATACATGTACATGTAGCTTCTCTCATCTAAGAGTATCTCCAGCCACGATTTAGCAAAATTGAAGAGATGAACAAGACTACTGGCCTGGTTGAAAATTTCTATTCCTTTTAAATTGCTCAATGAATTTACTTTTTAAATCATTGGTAAATTTCTGATGCATTTAAATCTGCTTGAAACAAGCCTCCATAGTGCAATTTTTCTCATTTAATTCCAAATAAAAGTTTCCCTTCCTTTTCATGAATTTGCATTCGAATATTCACATTCAAAAAATAAAATTTGAATATTTGACAATCGATCGAATTCAGTAATTCAGATATTCGGCACAGCTCTCGGAGCATGGGAGCACAAATGGATATCAGAGATATGGATTTCTTTTACACAGGGAGGTCTGCCTGGATTGGAACCCAGGAACCACAGAGGTGGGAGGCGAGCGCTGAACCCACTGGCCAACCCGCGTCACCCGGGTGGTACACAACAACGGCAGGAATCTCTTTGGGTGTTATGGTGCATTCCTGTGTGCACAGTGTTACACAAAAAAGGTGAAAAGTACATGTACATGTATGCATGCCATAAGCTGCAAAGCAAACTTTCAAAATGTGGCCCCTCCCCTAAAGCAGGCATGACTGATGAGCTTGAAGAAACAGCCACAATAGTTAAGCAATGAAAAATAAAACCTTGAATTCACAGTACTCTGTACATAGTCAAACTTACATGAATCCACTAAAACAATAGAAACCTACATGTATTGGTCCAATAGTTCACACTTCAATATTTTTTGCTGAAATTGCCATTGTGAACAAAAGAGTGACCTTAAATTCTTTATCAAATTACCAGCACTATTTTTTTTTACTTTATCTGCCCAATCACAATTACAAATTATACAGAGATGGACTAGGAGTGAAACAGCAAAAAACTGTTCTCGGCTGAAATAAAAAGTTTCCTACTGGTAGCATTTAAATTTTTTTTTTTGAACAGTGAGAGAACATAATCGATTACTTATTTGATCATACGGAAGTGGTCACTTTTAAGTGATTGTATACATGTATGTACATGTAACTCGAAAGCCATTTTTGTGGGTTATTTCACCTCTTTATTGTCAGTAAGTCACTCATCTCTAATGTAATACATGAGTATGTACTTTGTTGTTGACCCTGTTCCGTACAACTTATGTTATTGCTTTAATGTGTCAGCTGTTTTAATTTCTTATGCAAAGCCCATTAATTTCTGCCAACAACGCAACAGCATGTTTCACAATTTATCTACTCTTTACACAGACACGAGGCAGATGCGTGTCAGTGAATATAATGCCCTATTCACAGAGCGCATGGACGGGGCAAACAGAACTTTTAATTGCACCACACTGCAATTAAGGCGAGACGCACGGGAGGAAACGTACACCCGGGACGCCATGTGTTGCCGTTTTGCCACACCTGACTAAACTTGCCAATATTTGCCGTGCCGCACTGACTAACAGCAGCAAAAGAACAACTGCAAAGTTTTTTTTAATTAGAACAGAGTAACATTTGCTTAGTATGGTATTTATACATGCACATGTATCAAATATATTGGTACATGCATCTTAAAATACTGTACAACGTATGAACATCCTCTGGTCAAGCAAATGAACATAAAATGTACATACATGAATGTTTCAAGTCTAAAGCCACCCCATTCAAATTTACCAAAGTGACAAACAAGATTAGCTGTCCCACATTTCTATTTTCAGTTTTCTGTCAGCAAGAAATTTGAAATCAGTAAGACAGCCTGATGCATATGTGCAAGACTGCAAGTACATACATATACACGTAGGCTTATTTGAAAAGTTTTATCCATCCAGTTATCATGGCCACAGAAATGGGGTCAGGTTTCCTATTGACTTTGAAACGAGTACAGAAAAATACAGTCGCCAGATGGTTAATCATGATACATGTATATGATCAAAAATTACCCCATCTGAAAATAATTCTCTGCGCACTTTGTATGTAATGTAATATTATAATTTTATAACCCTCAAATACCTGTGACAAAACCGTTACACAAACTTGAATGATTGACCCCCCTGACCGCATAACATCAGCGGCTGAGATTCCAGGTCTTTGTCTGTTGGGCATAGGCACGATTTTCAGGTCCAGTCAGCTGGTTTACTTGGCAGTCTCACAACCAGGGGGGGGAACCTTTGTTTGTCCTATAAGGTTAGCCATCTGGGCATTCCAAGGGTTGTCTCTGGTGCTTGGGGAGTTATAAATGAATCTTGTCTACTTTTTTTCAGTAGGGTTACCAGCCACATGTACATGTATGCTGTCTGTTTATTGCCACTGGGCTCACGAATGATTGCAGGACCCAGTCACTGGAATTGAAAATCATATGCCACCACATTCCATCTTTCCCAAATTTTCTCATTCCTTGCTTTTATCTTTCATTATTTCTGGCCTCTAACAAAGTTAGATTTACACGGCATACACATGTAGTGTATCAGTAATGCCGTAATACATGTAACTTGCAAAACTGTGCAAATGTGTACGCTATACATGTATGTGATAAAAAGGTCACACGTTCCCGCATTTATATCTTTTACAACAGGTGCCTCATTTGACGGTGTATAAATCTACCTTTTTTGTAATGATGCAAATTCTCCATCCTCTGACAACTGGTTCCATCCTGGTTTAATACATGTACCAGTATGTACATGTATGTACATTGTAGCTCTACACAACAGAATATCTTTACAGGTATGCAAATCATTCCAGGTATTACTGAGGACTACACGTAGCACGGAAAGTTTCTTTGTTAGCCCCTTTACATGCTTTACACAGACCCGGCCCTACATCTACCGGTATATACACAGGCAAAGTGGAAAAATCCTCACTAATCTGTGAAACGTGACCTGACTACTCATACGTCAGTACGTACATGTACACCGTTTTTTGCCACTAGCGTGACTAGCAGGTTGAGATTGTGCAAAACGAAGAAAACTGAGACCCTGGTTTGGCTGTCTCTGATTGGTCAGTGTAGCAGGGTACTGGACACTTTGAGAATTTTGAGACGTTCCTCAGAAAACAATTACCCTTGGTGTTAGCTAAACGACAGCAAAAATTTGACTAGAGCGTACATCAGGAAAAATAAAGATGAAACCTGACCAGTATTGAGCAAATGTCTACCGGTATGTCACAATGACAGCGACCAACTGACCAATACAAGTACATGTACAGTGTACATGAACCTGCACATGTGCAGTTTTACAGTACTTAACAAGCCCAAACCTGTTGAAGCAGTGAACACATGACTATGCTCTCTTTTAATGCACTTTGTAAATTTCTCCATGGTTTTTCTGAAAGAAAGTGGGGAAAAAATGGATGTACATGAACTGTGGAAGTTATTAAAAAAGGAGTTGTTAGTATTTTTACACAATCAAAACAAAAGGGTAACAATTAAAATTCATGTGTAAAAAAGGAGGTATAGCGCACTGGGCTACATGAACAGGACTGAACTGAAATATTTAAAAGTAAAAAAAAACTGGTACCAGCAGAAAATGTACAAATGGAAAATTGGCATGTAAAATCAGCTGAGCTGAAACTTGGAGGCTGAAAGAATTCGACAGGTAAAAATGCAATGTTTAAGGCTTATTGTGCCTGTGTGCTACCTGCACAAGTCCCACTGCCAGCTCTTACAGTATTTACACAGCTTTCTGCAAACTGCAGATCCATGCCCAAACCTTAAGTGTACCAGTATGTACTCACTGTTTATACCTACTGGTACGTGTTTGTAACTGTACATGTGTGTTCTTTAAAAAGCCTGTCTGTTTGCACACACAACTAGGCCTCATTTCACGGTTTGATGCTGAGTGTACCCCAAAGGTTTGTATAAATACATGTACATGATGTATGCTAATCCTCGATGTCAAACTCAACAAAAATTAACATACACCAAACCTTGACGGCCAGGGCTCACTTCGGCAAAACAATTTCATAAGCTGACATGATCCTTTTTGCTCTTAAATTTTGTTGGAAGTTTATTCAGTGAATTCAAATAATGCAAACTCACTGACTCCATCATCCTACAGAAATACATGTACCTTTATGCAATCCAACAATAGTCAACAGAGAATTTCTGCAACACCACAGAAAAATGATAGCTTACACTGTACCCCCCTCTTCCCCCGGGAAAACTTACAGCCCTCCCTACTTCTACCTTTTTCACAAATCAATGCACATGGATACATAGATTCATGTAAATAAGACAGTAATATTAGTTGCATGTAAATGCACTGAAACTCAGTTAATACTGCCGCTGGTACAGCAGTGAAAGTATGCTGTACATGTATTATACATGTACAGTCTCCATAAGTGAAGACAGCATGAAGTCTCCAATAAATAAACATCTTTTGTTTTCCCTATTCATAATCAGAACTGACCTTCCGGGTACGGATGCCATACGGGTCTGGCTTGCCGTTTATGTCATTGTGCACGTTATTGTTTGCTACTTCAGTCATCTTGTCAAAAGCCCAAACTTCTTTTTTTCTCCGAGGTAAAGACTGGAACACCCACTTGTTGCACTGTAAGTTTACAGGCTGGAACCACAGAGCACCAAACGCACAATGCACACCACTCAATCCCAGCACACCATTCACATGTGATGGACTAACCTAATACCTGGCATGCCTGGTGGTTCTTAAGTGCAGCTCTCGGCCAATGATAGGTCAGAGTCACTCCCCCTTTTCACGAGCACGGATTGGTGTGTGTATGAGCCTATTGCGGCTGGTTGCCAGCCCAGCTGGGCATAGTGCAACTGTGTGATGATGTGGCAACTTTGGTGAACACCATTTATCAATGGTTTATCTCTCCAGCAGATCTGACTGGCTAAACAACAGGCAGATTAGTTGACCCAATGTGGGAGATAAACCAATACCCAGTGTGTTATCTGTTGTGCACACTAATTTGCACAAGACTCTCATTTGCAAGAAATTAAATGTACATGTACCTCTAGCAGAAAAAAATACAGCCGCTTCATACCAGCAGTTATACAAGTGTCATGGTACAGTAGCCACAGGCTATAATTCTTCCTGTATAAAATGGATACATGCATCTTGTCCTACTTCCATGGTTTCATTCATAACCAAATGTACAGGGTATGCACAAGTACATGTCTGCAGGTTACCATCTCAGACTAGCAGATTAGCTCTTTACCACAGACATAATGTACCAATCAATGTGCACTGAAAGCATGCACACACAATCTCAGCTATCAGGACAAACTCTTACACATGCTACAAATTTCCACAAATCAGTTCCAACTTTATCAATTGTTTCCTTAAACTAAAGTGTACATTTGTGGTAGGTTAAAATTCAAGTACAGTTGAATCTCGTTAATAAGAGGTCTTTCGGACTGAGCACATTACCTTTTTATAACAGGAACCTTGTATTATCAGGAATGAAAACAATGAAAAACAAAGGATTGGGAGCTGAAAATGTCCTTGCTACAAGCAGAATCTTGTAGTTTAAACAGCGCTCTTATTAACAAGGTTCGACTATAATTACAGATTTTAGTAACACATACTCATGCCTAATGAGTTACATGTACATGTGTAATTGTGTGAGTCAATCAATCACAAAGACAGCTGGAAGGTCAAAGGGGACATTCTCCCCCTACCAAACCTGGCTCCGCCCAAAAAATGGCTCCCGTTCCCAACCTCCAATTCCAGATGGTGTGGACTAGCACAATCCTTCCTAAGTGACGGCGCAGGGTATGTTGGAAACATTTCAGTTGTGTCATTTAGACCAACGGGAAAAAAATAAAAACTGACCCCTAAAAAAAGAACATGTACATGTAAGCAATGTTGGGAACTAGAGAGTGCACTGTGCCAACATTTGGGAAATCTTTTACGCAACAATTTTTCAACAAATTCAGAAACAAGCCTGTTGTGATTGCAAGTTCTGAAATTACACTGGTACATACCGGTATATATTGTATGTATACCAGCAACACCACCTGATCTGGATGAACAAGAATGTATTGCATCGGTACACGTCGTTAAGAATGCAAAGTTCAGAGAGACTAACATTCGCTTGAATGGTTGTTATGAGATGATAGCCCGGAACCACATCAAGGAGCTACCACCAGATGTAGACTACATGCCTGGCACAGGAAACAGCAGAAACAGCTCATCGGACAAAAGGTCATTGATGCAATGTCTGTGAATTGGCCCTCGAGACTGGTTTTTAGCTTAGTTTCGACTGGAAGCAGACCATGAACAAGCCAGACAGTGCTTTGCACTCACTTAACTCTATGATACCACGAACAACGTTCTTGAACTGTGAAAACCAAACTTTGGTTATTCTTTCAATGGAAAGGTAATCTAGGAAATAAGCAACTTCCCTTAAACAGCAGTACTTAGTTTGAATAGGCATCAGGTCATTATTGGTTCCTAACACTTTATCTGAGTGACAGGGTAAAGCTAGCACATTATGTGTAGCCAATAAGTAACTGTTTATTTAACACTTACTGTTCCTTTGTCAGATAGATTCTACTGCTTGAAGAGAAAACAACAAATAAACAAACAAAATGCAAACAACCAGAAAACAACAAATTTCCGAACTACCTGTACATGTACATTGTAACTCTTCAAAACTGACTTTACAAATCTGTTCATTAAAAGGTTGTCCCAGTACATAGCCATGGGACCTACCATGCCTACTGCAAACCTACTATGATTTCTGGAACAAACTTCTCACTGGCATGGCCCTCAATAAAGTTTCCAAGGGGTCTGTGAACCAATTCTTCAACAACATGCACTCTTACCCACGGGACTGCTTTTCATATTTCAAGTTATGACTGACACGATTCTGATGAGCCCCGAATTGTTACAAATGAATTGTTCACTTCACACTTATGGATGTGCAACTGCAAAAAAAGAAGAGATATACTAAACACGGGCATGCAACTTGCACTTTGACAAAAATGAGGAAACTCTAATCTTTACAAGACTTTATACAATGTTTTTCAGATAGTCAGTGGCATGAGTGTGAAGTGAGAATTGAGGAAATCAGCTGATCCTGGTAAAAGCTGCGTGCCTGTAATCAGGGAAGAAATTACATGTATGTGTAGGTTTAAATCTGTGTTATCAACTACACACACAAAAATATCCAAACTCCTACCAACAAGCAATCCTCTTTTAGAAACGCAATGCCATTATCAGATTTATTTAGATTGTCAGTGTAAACAGTTCAATTTCTTTTAAAAAAATAATCCCTTGATTGAAACTTGAACAAACTCCTTGATGATAAGCCCTTTGGTGCCTCTGATCAGCCAAACCAGTACTTGAACCAGTTAAAAGTACTTTGTGCCAAATATAGTGCCCTTCTCAATACTCCCCAAGAGTCAGGTTCCCAGATTAAGAGATCTGACTACTACGAGGATATCTTTCGTCTGGTACCAAGAGCGTTTTTTAAACGAGTGGATTCTGCTTAGACTTTGGTTTCGCTAGTTACAGTCAGAGCTTGAACATGTGGTTTCAAACGCTGCTTCAAAATGGCTGGAACCAGCACAACCAAAGTCTATGCCAAATCCATTCGTTTCAAAAACCCTCTTAATTCAGCTGCCGTGGTCACGTGACAAAACGTTTCTGATCTTCAGGGAGTGTTATAAATATGTGAAGTACATAAAGTGCTTGAACCGTTGCAGACTCCCAAGAGTCCATTGTAAGTCAACAAAGATACATGTACAGTAGCTCCATTTTGCTTGCTATTATTTGGCACACTGATATCCGTTGTTGTGCATATTTCTGATTACGCTGACTATTCACACACCAACAGATTGTCTGCACATTGCACCTAAAAATACATGTACATGTACCTGTAGAAGGCTTACTGTGACATACTCTAGGCCTACGGTACTTTTGCAGTTACCGGTTGCAACTACCCACTGTCATGATTTTTGGGCAGGAAAGCCTGTGCCCGTTTGTGCCACCCTGTGCCACCAAAAGAGGGCGCTGCGCCAATTTTTCATGGCTAATAACAAGCATTCACAAGCAGATGCATGTATGTACTAGTACACTGTAAATGTCTATGGTTATAAATGCATGTATAATACATGTATTATGTCATGTGCATACATACAAGTGCATGTGCATTCATTTCCAACCTTCAATCCTTGAAGGACCGCTGCAAAAATGCATGTACATGAATCCCATACGTTGTTGAGTCGAGCTGTGGCAGATAGGGAGAGAATAGTGTGGGGTGATGACAATTATCCGGTAATATCTAGTTTTTGCCAATGATCTTTTATAATTTACCTGCATTTTGTTTGTCAAAAGCTTCAAGTTGAATTAAGAATTGACTCATTTTGAATAAATAAGGCTGGTTAAACACATTGGCAATAAATGATGAACAGAAGAATTCCAGCAGTATGAAACATTTCTGAGGGTGGAACTCCTTATAAACAGCAGCTTCGATGGAGATAATATTTGCACCACTTTGTTTCTCCTGTCGAGAACTAGGCCACTCGGCAAGTTAACCCAGGGGGGCTGCCCGCAGGGTCCAACTGGACATTTTTAGCTAAAAACCTACTTTTGAAGGGTTTTTACCTTATAATTGGAACCATTATGTGTAGTCTTGCTGTAAATTTATAACTCAAAGTGAAGGAATAAAAATGGTATGATTACAAACATGTACATGTAAAATCAATTTCATAATGTTTGTTTTGTTCATCCTTACAAATGTGACAAATGACAGTTTCAAACAAGTAGGTTTCTCTTCACTAGCCCAACAGGCAAGTTACATGTAAATAATGCATTTTACTAGCAGGAAGCAGTTTAACGAGAATTTGTATGCCGGTCTAGTGCTAAGTTTGAGACCTGAGTTTGTCCATATTAAATAAAAAATCATGTTATAACGCTAATTTTGCTGTTGGTTCATGTCATGCAAAGCTTTTCGAATTATCCAACATGAATCAAGGCTTCAATTAATGGATTAACAAGTTAGGCCTTGGGCCCACGACTGTTGACTTGCACCGTGCATGGATATAGGCCCATCATGGGCTTGGGCTTTTCATGTCATGTTCATTCATATGCTTGACATATGACATGCAGCTGGCCCGAGAATTTTTTGTCTACGTCACTAGGCCTTCTCCACACGGAGTCGTGACTTAGATTTTTTCTCCAAGTAGCCTGACATTCAGTGACAGCACACATCAGGTCCACATTGACCACTGTTTGCCCCTGCTTGAATGAAGCATAATAATAAATAATAAAATGTAGTCAACCTGATCAATGAACTATTTGACTACTGGACTGCTAATAGTTTACGCCGTGGCTGTTCTTACGGCAGCCGTAACGCATCTCTCATTTTCTATCGTTACGGCACTGCAACTGCACAAGCACGCCAACTTCAGCGCAGATTTCGGACTTTATTTCCCTTTAAAAATCCTCCAAAGCCTCTAATGAGAAATGAAAAAGATTATGGTACAAAACATGAAATTTAGGCCAAAAAAACAAAATGGTCCTAATGCGGATTCCAACTCACACACCAGTGGTTCCAAGCCTTCCACCTTGACCATTCGGCCACAAGCTTTCAGCGATCCAGGTAATTTTGAAATATATAAACTGTCATGATGATCAGCTACATGTATGTCATCGCACTTGCACAGTTCAGTGCCTTAACGATAGAAACTGAGAAATGCATTACAACTGCCATTTTTATTGCAGGTCCTACTCCCCTCCGGGTTGATACGAATGGATGTTATTCAATGGCAAATCAACTGAGGATGGAGTACACTTGCGCAAGGTTATCTGCTTCTCGTCAGATCGTGGGTTTCCACCCCTCCCGTCTATAATTAACAAGCCTTATCGCAAATACTGCATGGGTGATTTTGCACAATGATAGAAAGGCATTGCGGGAAGGGAAAAGCAGCAATAAGGCTTATGTCGCGGCCAACTCGACATGCTTCAACTTAGTTTGATAAGTTTTACATTCGACAAGTTACAGTAATAAGAACACAACTCGCACAAAATGAACGGAACGAGGTCAGACTTACGCGTTCCGGAGCTTCCATCCTAGCTTTCTTGTGCTCCGGACTGTTTAGGGTGTTGTTTATCAGCGACATATTTTGTGAATAGAAAGTTGTTCTCCAAATGGTTCGGTACGCGCTAGTAATATACTATAGTATTAGTAACGAGCAACGATCCTCTTTCGTCGATGATCTCAGTGAAAGTGATTTTTGATTGATCGGCAGCGGTACCCGATCGGAGCGAGCGACACGTTGTACGCATCGCTACGTAGTCAGGTTCCATACAATGAAGTGTTGAATTTGCCAGTAATACGTCTAGGTAGGCACCACTTTCTACATAGCGTCGTCAACATCGTTCCCAAACTACGAGACTGTGGTAAGCATCGATGTTGAGGGTCGGCCCCGGCCTCAAGTACGTCTGTGGGTCCGTGTGAGTGGCTGCGCTGAAAAGACCACGGGCGTGGCTTTTGGCAGTGAAACTTTAAGTTCATTCACCCCAAACTCTTGAGGCGTTCGACTGCAGGTTTGATAAACCTTGGAGGTTGGCGGAAGGAACATTAGTAAGGGAGTCTCTTTCTGTGGCATGTAGGGCGTACAGACTAATGATTTCTTGTGCCCGCTCAATTTGAACCTTAATACTGAGGTTTTTGTGAACGGGAGTTTTTGAAAGATATGAAGGGTTATCCTGCTCTTAATCGTTTGTACTAACTTGATTTCCAACACATTTGGATGCAAGTGGACTTAAAAAGCGTCACTGATTTTGCAGTTGCGTAAAGAGACCCTCTTCTTGTCAAACCGGCGATGGAAAAGAAGAAAAAAGAAGGTGCTTTAAGCGTAAGTTTATCCTCCGAAAGACAGCGAAACTGAATATTATGAAGACATCACCAGCCACTTTGTTTTTCATTTGTTTTACCTTTTGTTGTGTTTTACTGTTTGTTTGGCTCTGCTTGGCTCGGCTCAGCTTGGCTTTGCTTTGACACAGTTTATTTAATATTTTCATTTGCACCTTTTTGTGTCCGGACGCTGGCCGTTTGTTTTACCTTTTGCTTCATTTACTGTCTTACAAGTATTCAAAAAACTTTAAAAACATGAAAAGAACACAAATTGTATTTTAAAACTGGATCTTTTAATCATAATATAGGAAAAAATAAAGGCCACTTTCCTTCCTATAACTTGTACAACTTTAAGACATCCAATACCATTGTCACTAGGTATTATCATAGGCCTCATCTTGTGTAACTACCTTTTATCCATGTTGTATTAAATTTCTGTTCACTCTAGCTGAAAAAACTTCCAATCATATATAATATTGATAAATTTATTTTAATATAAACAAGACTGTATAAAATCCCCAAATGTTACTTTGTTATTAAAGTTAGTCAAATCTCAGACATGGATAACTGATGTCACGGTGTGGATTCTTATTACGAATTGACCATTGGAACGTGTGTCTGCCAGTTCAGGCACAGTGTCAAGTTTAAATGTGTCACACCAACCATTTGACTTTATCACCAAATCATCTTTCTGAAATGGGATCATTGCGTCTTATCTATAACAAGTCCAAGTTCAAAACTTGCACTCCGGGGGGTCGTGTACACGTATCTGCATGTTTAGTATAATCTCTTTTTATTGGACACGACGGTTATCTTGAAAAATCAACATTACCTAAACTTGGAATAACATTTGCAATCATTAATAATTATAGCATATTCTTGATGTCTATATCTGTTTTTGCCGCGCACTTTGGCGCCATCGGTAAACAAAATAGGTTCAAAAAACTTGGTACAATTTCGAATGCACTGGCGTTGCTGAATATTGTATTTGATTTGGGCCTTTGTGTTTTGGGGGTGAGCGTGTTTCGGCCTGAACATGACCATTATAGGCAAACGCAGTGTCTGTTTTCTTTCTTGTGACCTTGCTATCGTTTAAGCGAGCTGTTATAGAAATAGTTGCGACGTGAATGTCTCAAAAGCTGGAACCAAAATGGTGGTTTGGGCGTCAGTGCAGTGAACACAAAATTAGCTGCATGCTGTACTGCGCACATAACGAGCAGCCATTTCGTTTCTAGAATCAGTTCTCTGATCATTAGATGGCGCTTCTCTCTATAATTACAGCTCCCGCTATGGACCGTAAAATGGCGCCATCGTTCTTCATCATATGTTCAAACAAGTATGTGTACCTGCCCTCTCCCAATATCGTGTGTAGAATTAGCTCTTGGTCTATAGGTCTTCGCCGACTGAATACGCACGCACGTGCTGACGGCTGAGAGAGTCATAACTCTAGACACGGCCTGTATTTCCAGGCTAAGTTTTCTTCGGTCGTACCAGCCACTCTGCAGAAGGTTTTTTGCTTTTAGACACTTTTTTTGTGCGTCCTTGTGGCAAAATTTGTGGCTGCATAGAATAGCCGCTAGCCAAAGCCTGTATAGAGCGGTGTGTGCAACTGATTGTATAAAGGGGGCGCCAATGAGTTTTAATTAACAAGTCAAGAAGGCCTATCCCACAGTTTATTATGAGCCACCTACGGTTTATCTATGCTACAAGTATTACTTTGGCCACAATGATTGCAGCAAGAGCTATCAACAGTCGAGCGGGTGTGACAGTGGACGCGGCTCCGCGGCCCCCGCCACTGCCCGGTCCGGGCCTAGAACCGTCTGGGTTAAGCCCGAAGGCCACGTTGCAGTCCGCCTGCACCTGGCACTGGCCCGCCTTAGCCATCAGCTCCCGCCTGAAGTCCCTGAGGTTGCAGAAGGCATCCTGGCAGAAGGTGATGTTGATGGGCCGCTCGTTGAGCAGTACCTGCACCCGGAAGGTGACGTCTTCGAAGAAGAGCGACTGCGGCTCCTCGCAGCGGAACAGGTTGAGCGCCAGGTTGCCGGCAAAGGGGGCGAGCTTCGCCGTGCGGAACTGCCGGGTGCGGCTCTGGGCGTAGTTGTTGAACATCAGTGGCCGAGGATCCTTGGCTATTCCCAGCAGGCTAACGAGTCGGAGTAAGGTGTTCTCATCGGCAAACTTGAAAATCATAAGAGGTGTACTGCAAACGAAACCAAACAAAATGTAATAAAAGTAATTTAGAGAACCACCAAATTTTGTCTGATTCTAACAATCTCCGTGTGCACCAAGACCATATGAAAATGTCATTTTGTAAAACCATCTAAATTAGTCACAATTTGTCCTCTGTTTATTTTCGAACCCTGACCGGTGAAGTCCGTGTGTGATTTAGCCCTGACATCCAACCCATGCCACCCTTTACAGAACAGTCGTGACAGAAGGCGTTGGTGGTTTTTGGCTTTCTGTTTTTGTTTTGTTTTGTGTGTGTGTGTGTGTTTTTATATTTTTTATTTTATCTTGACATTATTTTTTTAGCCAGCTGTCGATGTCAAATTGGACAATTAGCATGGTTTAGTCACACTCATTTTGGCATTTTTGCACTGTCACGGTCGGGCCATGACAGATGCGACAATGATGATTCGACCTTTGCTGAATGAGTCAGGTCACGATAATTCTCTTAGTGGACCGGAAGTGCTGCGTATTCTCGTTTCCTCGTCGCGCCCCCATTCCCATCCAGCTTGATCATGACCATGGCAAAGGCTTGAAAAACACATTCGCTTTGCCGCTAAGTTCATGTGTACATGGCGCCCCGTTCGGTGAATCGGTTTACGTGTATGGGTGCTGAAACATACCGCTGGCGCTCAGGGTGCAGAACAATGTTTCTTGCCCCGTTGGAAGCAGTGGAAAATCGATTCGATGCAAGCCAACATCACTGGAAATTCTCAAACAGAAATTAAATTATTTTCTTGTCCTTTGTCTTTCCATTTTTGGTCCTTTGTCTTTCCATTTCTTTTAAACTTTCTTGTGGGTTGCCAATTTACCTTTTTAATTATTTACCAAACAAACATACCAACCCACCCCCCAAAAGTGGTACTTCCCCAGCCAGCTCGCAGATGGCATACGTCTTACGTCTACTTTCTCGGACACTTAGGACCTTTTTCATCAGCTCTCAAATGGAAGTTCCAATAACTTCCAAGGGAGTTGATCCTGGACTAAAACAAACCCTCGACTTTTCAGCCAAGCAATCTCCGTCTTTAAAAGAAAATGTGGGTAACTTTTAAGTTATTATTACTCGGCAGAAGTTATCAACACAATTAGTGCACTGCTTCGCTAATGACGCCAATGAATCAAGACTATTTATGGAAGCAGCCGACTATACTGGCTTCACCATTTCCCATGTGCTGTCTCAAGCCCCCAGCCAGGTAATTCGCAAGAGGTCTTACCACAACTGTATGAGCCCCGAGTCGACCAAGAGAGGGTGCAATTTTCCCTGCAATGGAGACCCTAACGGAGCTGGGAAGGGCTGATGGCCTTGCACAAATTCTAGCGCAGGAAATACGTCACACGGGGTCACAGCTAACGACGCACAGAGAATTGTGCGTAAATTTCTACCAGACGCGCAAGCTCGCTCAATGCGTGACTCAATCGGCGGTTATCAATTTTGATATTTCTTTTCTTTTTCTTTTTGCTAAAAATTTCCTCACTACACCCTATTCATTCATCCAAAATTGATTAAGATAACCAGTGATTTGAAATATATCGCCGAGAGACACTTGATCAGTGATAGTACTTAGCGGGAAGATAAAAATTACCACACTGTGATTGTACCAAGGCCGTGTTTTTATCATTTAGCAGACACTTTGCCTGTGCCACAGCATTGCCATTATTGTTGAACCAAAAAAAATCAAATAACGCTTGCTAACAGGAAGTGATAACCTCGTGGTCACAAGTCATGCACAATGTAGCTAATCATATTGCAAAGCCATCAGCCCTTCCCAGCGCCCTTGGGGCGCTGGGTGACGAGCGAAATTGGTCGAAACTTTACTTCGGTGGTTCACAACTACTATGACATGCATGCGTTACGGTCGCGTCACTACCAACAAAAATGAGCGCTCCCCACCACTCTTTTCAACCGATGAGGGGTGCTTCTGCTCAAGGCGGACAGAGTGATTAGCGCCGACCGCAGATTTGGGGACTAAAGTGGCTGTTCATTAACTGCGCAGTACCGTACAGCTTGCAACCTTCTGTGAGACGGCCCTTATGCACTGACGCAAACGCTTTCCCAGCTGAGACACTCGTGTCTCCATTCCACTCTCTCTCTCTCTCTATAAACAAGCTCTGGTTCTTACCGTACTCCAGCTCCAGCTGCCCTGCCAGACAGCCTATCGAAGTACTCCAGCGTGTCGTTGATGAGCGGACACGTCACCCGCGAGTTGAGAGGGAACCCGTAGGATTTGTCCCAGAAGTCTTCCAGCTCTCGCCGGTACTCGGCCACGTTCAGGTCTTCGTATTCGAGGAGACGGCACCAGGTGGTGTTCTCGTTAAACATGGCCAGGTAGTAGGCACAGATTCTTCCCAAAAGTTCCACCTCATCTTAGAAGAGAAAAAACTTTCAGTCGTTTTACGTTTGTTAATATATGGCATTAATAACACACGCGAAGAGATAATATATCAGCAATATGAAACGTGAGAAGTGGAACAAAACTGGTCAAAATCTGTTGTTGTTGTTTGTTGTTGTTGTTTGTCGTTGTTGTTGTTTGTTGTTGTTATTGTTGTTGTTGTTGTTGTTGTTGTTGTTGTTGTTGTTGTTGTTGTTGTTGTTGTTGTTGTTGTTGTTGTTTTT